TCAAGTTTTTTCCCCCCAGGTTCATGCCTTTAAAAATTTTTTTTAATTGGTTTAAGAAATCTTTGCTTGGCTGAAGGTCATAAGGCTTTTTTTTCTATATTTTCTTCCTGAAGTTTTATAATTTTAGCTATTACATTAGGTCTCTGGTGTGAAGTAAAGGATAGAGTTCAGCTATCCAATTGTTCCAGCACCATTTACTGAAAATATTATTCCTTTGTTACTGAACTGATTTATATTTGTCAAAAATCAATTGCTTTTATGTATATTTCTCAACTCTCTTCCATTCCATTAATTTATATATTTGTTCTTATGCTATATTCAAATATCTTGATTACTTGTAGCTTGATTTACTGCGAGTCTTAAAATCAGATAATAAAAGTCCTACAACTTTGTCCTTTCTTCGACATTGCTGTGGCTAGTTTAAGCCTCCTTGCATTTACATTTTAAAATCAGCTTGTTACTTCTAAAATAAAAAAACCTTGCTGAGGATTTTATTGAGATTGAGTTGAATCTATAGGTCAACTTCCAGAAGTTAGATCTTTATAATGTTGAGTCTTCTGTTCTATAAACATGATACATGTCTTCATTCATTTGGTTTCTCAGCTATGTTTTATAGTTTTCAGGGTACAGATCTTATTTTTAAAAATCTTTCCTAAGGAATATGAGGTTTTGATGCTATTGTAAATGATATTTCAAATTTTTCATTTTCCAATTGTTCATTGGTGTTATAAAGAAAAAGAATTATCTTTTATACAGTGACCCTGAATTTTGTAACCATGATAAATTCACTAATTAGTTCTAGTTGCTTTGTGTAGATTCTTTAGGATATTCTACGTATAAAATCCTATCATCTGTGAATAAATTCAGTTTTGCTTCCTCTCAAAGATGTTAAATCTTGGGGCTATAAATATAACCACCCACAGGGATTAGTACCTTGAATAGCTGGAACTGCATGGACTTTCCCTACCCAGAGACAGGATCTGATTCTCCCAACTGCTGATGTGTGACAGTGGTTACATGTCAATACCTTCATGGAGGGACACAACCTCAAATTGGCCTGATACTTGAAAACGAGAGTACTCAGCATACAATAAGTAGAGGGGGAGCCTACACAGCTCTTTTGCTGTCACTGATGTTTTTTCTTATGTTTGCACTTGAATTAGTTGACCATTTGGTTGTCACGGTATTCGTCACTCAAGGTGTCCTCAGTTGTAGACTTGATGCCAATAATTCCATCTAGTATTGTGAGGATAGACAAATAAAGATGGTCACCTTCCAGGTGGAAGATGAGATAATTTCTCTGGCATCAACCTTCTTGCCCAAGCCAAATGGCCATGGCAGTTGGCTTACTGATGATTCAGAACATGAGACCAGTGATGCTTGCTGGCAGTACCTTTGGTGGTGTGAAGGAAGGAATCACTAAAGTAACAGCACTATGAGGATGATGTGGGTCACAGTGCCTCCCAAGTAGGCTTCTAAACTTTTCTCCACCTTTTTCAAAACCTGAAGTCTGTGTTAGGCAAACTTTTAGGATGCCACCCAAAGTCCTGGTTTCTGGGCACTCACACCCTTGTGCAATTCCCTCCCCTGGGCTGTGGGCTGGGCCTAGTGACTTGTCTCTAACAAAAAGAATACAGCAAAAGTGATAGGCTGTAACTGCTGTGATTAGTTTACAAAAGATTGTTTTAGAGTCTGTCTTGGCAGTGCTCTGACCCCTTCTCACTTGCTCACCCTGATGAAACAAGCAGCCATGTTGGGAGATGCTTGCTCTCTAGAGAAGACTATGTGGCAGGGACCTAAGGGAGGCCTCTGGCCAAGAGTTCATAAGGAACTGACACTTCAGCCCAACACCCTGAGAGGAACTGAATCTTGTCCACAACAAACACATGCATGAACTAGGAAGTTAACCTTCTCAGCCAATCCCTGAGATTACTGCAGCCTTAGGAGAGAGCCAGAGGCCCTGGCTGAGCTGGACCTGGGTTCCTGACCCAAAGAACTGTAAAATAGTAAGTGCTGTCTTAAGCCACTTGATTTTGAATAATTTGTTCCATAGTAATAGCTAACTAATACAACCACAAGATATCCTTCAACTCTGTAAAACTTTCAGCATCCCTTTGACAGCCCCTGACTTCAGCCTATCTACATAGTCCACAACCATGCAAATCCAATGCTTTTCATGTCTGACCAGACATCTGTATGGTCAAATCCTGTCTAGCTAGATGTAGTATCTAAAACCATATTGGAATCCACTGAAGTTTGAATCTCATAGTATCACTGATCAATCTTTTTGGGTCAACTAAAAGCAACATAATTTGGGATGGGCCTCTTTCCCTGACCGCTGGCAATGACCTCCACTCTCCTGTGCTGGAAGATGCTTGTATAGGAAGGGTTGGTAACAAGGTCAGTGACAACTAAGGTAAATTCAATGTTATTCAAGGGCAAGTGTCTGGCCTGGAGAAAAAATATGTAGATACCAGAGCTGCCATAGTGTTTAATGAGCCATGATGGGCTGCTGAAATCATAAGTCATTTTTAAGATTTTATTTATTTGAGAGTGAGTGTGCATGCGCACAAGCTGGGAGAGGGAGAGAATGTGATGCAGGGTTCAATCCCACAACCCTGAGACCATGACTTGAGCTGAAATCAAGAGCCGAATGCTCAGCCAACTGAGCCACCCAGGCACACCGTAAGTCATTTATTTTTGATGGGGCGTAGGATGAATGTGGGTAAGTGGTAGGAAATAAGACTGAGGAAGAGTAGAGAACATGAAGGTCCTTGTATATCAAGCAAAAACAAACATAACACCTGAGGCACTGAGAGAAAACTAGAGGTACTGACAGAGGGATTGAAAAAAGGCAATCAGGAGATACTAACATCAAGATAAGTCAGATTCTGAAATGATCTGACAATCATTTTAAAGTGGTTATCAATAAGCAATTATGAACATGCTTGAAACAAGTGAAAAAAAACAATTTCAGCAAAGACATAGCATAAGAATCAAAGGAAAATTTTAGAACTGAAAGATACAATAAGTAAAATTTAAAAACCCAGTGATGGGTTTAGCATCCGAATGAGGGTTATGAAGAAAAGAATTGGTGAACTTGAAGACAGAATGATGGAAATGACCCCATTCAAACAACAGAGAGAAAACAAGTGAACAGAACCTCACATATGCATGGGAGTGTAAGAAAGGACCTGATATTATCCCATTAGAAACCAAGCAGCCCAGCACTAAGTGCCATAGCAATTTTTGGGTGCTGGAAGAGAACTGCCAGCCCAGAATCCTAGAGCTGGTAATAATATTATTTGGGAAGGAAGGGGAAATCAATACAGTCTCAGATGAAGAAAAATTAGAATGTTTCTTTTTTTTAATTTTAAAGATTTTACTTATTGATTCATGAGAGACAGCGGGGGGGGGGGGGGGGGGGCAGAGACACAGGCAGAGGGAGAAGCAGGCTCCATGCAGGGAGCCTGACGTGGAACTTGATCCTGGGTCCCCAGGATCACACTCTGGGCTGAAGGTGGCGCTAAACCGCTGAGCCACCCAGGCTGCTCTAGAATCTATTTCTACAGACTTATCCTAAAGGAGTAACTAAAGAATATTCTCGAATTAGAAAAGAATCAATAAAAGAACTCATGGAACATCACAAAGGAAAAAAGAATGACAGAAAGAATAAAAATACAGGTAAACACAATGGAATGTCCTTTTCCTCTTGAGTTTCCTAAATTGTATTTGATGGCTGAAACAAAAATTGTAACTGACGGAGTTTTCAATGTCTGCAGAAGAATAGTTCAGACAACTGGTAGAGGGTAAAGGGATGTGAAGGGTAGATTTCTGTACTTAACTTAATCTGGTAAAATGTCAAAATTAGTGGACTATGATAAACTACATATATATAATATAACATCTAAGGCAACCATTAAATACCTAAGAGATATACTAAAAACAGATAAATCAAAATAGGGTTCCAAAAAATGTTTAAGTAATGCACAGGAGGGCAGGGTTTGACACATACAACAACTTAGATGAATGGCAAGGACATTATGCTCAGTGAAAAAGTCAGTTTCAAAACAAAAGTCACACATTGTATGATTAATTGATGTAACATTTTCAAAATGACAAAATTATGGAGATGGGGAAGATTACTTGTCAGGGGCTGGGGATGGTGGGGGAGAGGAGGAGGTGTGACAAGAAAGGGGCAGCACAACGAGATCTTTGTAGTGACAGAACAGCTCTGCATCTCGACCGTTATGTGGACCATTATGTGGACCGTAACGTAATAAACATAAAACATAGAACTATGTGCAATGGTCATTCAACATCCATTTTGTTTCCAACCCTCCCCCATCTCCATCATGAGGTTTATCTCCATCACGATCACCTCCATCCACTTCCATCATTCTCTTGATACCTATGTCACTCTTCTCAATTTTACTTCCATGCATCTAAATGCTTGTGTGATGGTTCTCATTGGATGGTTTCTTGCCACTTACTCTCACCCTATCTTCGGTTTTGCCTTTACACTCCCCTTGACCCCACCTGTTTGTTTTGTCATCTTCCTATCTGTCACTCACAGGCAAACGTCAGTCATCTTTGACTCTTCCCTGTGTCTGTCCTCCCATTAACCGGCCACTGGATTTGTCTCAGAGAATTCTTTCTTGAATTCATTTCTATTCTCACTGCCACCAACACAGTTCCAGGGCCTCTGAACTCTTGAGACTTGATCAGAGCTTGCTAATGGAAGAGTAGGCCTCTATAAACTCTCACTACCTTTATCTAGTCTGCAGAGCAAGTATCAGAACATGATCTGATACAATAAAGAAACATGTTGGAAACTGTATCTAGTAGATGGGCAAGGGGGAAATCCAGAGATATGAATAAAAGTCAAAGTATTTCTCCAAAACTAGTTAAACACATTAACTTCATTTAAAATTTCTCTTTACATAGTCACACAAATTAGAAGAGAGTTGTCTTTCTCAGTAAAAGTGCAAAATACATACCTTAACTCTACGAGTGATGCTAAGGAACTGACAGGTTTTATCATAAAGCTGTTCCAGGTTTTCTCTGTCCCAGTAGAAATCGGGAGTGATCAAGAAGTCTGAACTCAAGTTTATACGGTGTCTTAAAAAAAAAACAAAATAACTTTTTAATTCTGAATTATAAATCAGTCCTTATTTTCTTTTTACAAAGTACTTTATGAAAATGTCTACTAATGCTGACCTTTCTGAGAAATATGTAAATACAAAAATTTACATAAGCATTTTGAAATTTGCAACCAAATTACCTCAATCCTTAACATTAATGTTATTTATGTTGTTAGAAAAATAAAACCTCTCATTTTGCTTTCAATATCTGAGCTTTTTTGTTTTCTTTAAAAAATTTTACAATATAGGGATGCCTGGGTGGCTCAGCGGTTGAGCGTCTGCCTTTGGCTCAGGGTATGATCCTGGAATCCTGGGATCAAGTCCTGCATTGGGCTTCCTGCATGGAGCCTGCTTTTCCCTCAGCCTATGTCTCTGCTTCTGTGTGTCTCTCATGAAAAAATAAAATCTTAAAAAAAATTTTTTTTACAACATATATACATTTTTTTTTATTGGTAAGTAATTATATGGCTTTAAAGTAAAAAAGACAGAAAAGGTAAACTGACAAATCCCACTCCTATTCTTCCCATCATTCCCTTTCTCCCACCCATGACAGGTTAACCCTTCCTCTGTTCTTCCAGTGTTTCTGCAAACGCTGGACAATACACGCATACACAAACCCTTATTTTCTTTTTGTGTGAGACACCTAGGTTTACTTTTATTTATTTATTTTTAAAAGACTTTATTATTTATTTATTATTCATGAGAGACACACAAGAGAGAGAGAGAGAGAGAGAGAGAGAGAGAGAGAGAGAGAGAGGCAGAGACACAGGCAGAGGGAGAAGCAGGCTCCATGCAGGGAGCCTGATGCAGGACTCAATCCTGGGACTCCAGGATCTCGCCCTGAGCCAAAGGCAGGCGCTCAACTGCTGAGCCAGGCATCCCCCCTAGGTTTATTTTTAAATGAAAATTTAAGGCACGGAAGTAACACGTAAGTGGCTGTTCATTATAACAAAGAAAGCCCTAGAGAAGAACTCGGAAAACAGTAGTTGGTTCTCTTACCCTAAAACACAGCCCAAATCCTCTAGGCTCTGTGAACACTCTACTGTGTCCTTCCAGACCTTTTCTATGCATATATTCATGTATGTGTGCATACACAAACAGATGTTTGCTATGCATACATATCGAGATAAAGATGATTATTCATTTTTGTTTACACAAGTTGGATCATACCATACATAATGTGGACTTGATTTTTCACCCAATGTTGTAACCTGCCATGTATCCTTTTTTTTTAATAAAAGATTTCATTTATTCATGATAGACATGGGGCGGGGGGGTGGGGCAGAGACACAGGCAGAGGGAGAAGCAGGCTCCAGGCTGGGAGCCCGACCCGGGACTCCAGGGTCACGTCCTGGGCCAAAGGCAGGTGCTAAACCACTGAGCCACCCAGTGACTTCTGAGTTTTGATAGGATTCTAATCTGCCGTATCAAATTCTACTGGCATCATCAAGAGAAGAAGACAGAGACACTCTCTACCTCGCTTCTTAGAGAACTCAAGGCTCAACGCTTCAGATATGCTACAGAACGCTCCTGATGGATGGGTTTTCATCTTGTTGGCATCCTGAATGAGGGCCCCTGGGTTATGAAGAACACAGAGATGAAGAAATCCTGGACCACTTCTCTCCAGGCCAACCTCTATGGGGAATGTGGAAAAACAACTCTAAACTATTTACAACGATCTCTAGCAGCTCACACAGTAGACTTTGAGGGAAAAGACCTTGAATGATGCTGCCTGGTAAGAATAATGCCAAGATTCAGGATGTTTCATTCCATAAATCCTGGGAAAATTACAAAATTAAAATAAACTGGACACCTTTCCAGAAACTTATTTAAAATGACGCACTGATGTACTTCATCAGTTTTAAGACACTTTTCTTTCCAGTCTCTGAAAATGGACGGCAGCTTTAAAGCTGATGATGTCTTACAGGTGGCAGGTAGGACTTAGTTGTCATTGCCTTAACTTCCCTCTTGCCTCCCTTTTATGTATGCCCAAGGAGGAATGTGATGGAATCCACACCCAAATACAGCTAAAGGAGTTATTTCAGCGTAAGATGTGAATTCTGTGATAAAAAAGCATCGTATCATAGCTTCACTGACAGCATTTGTCTCTGCTGTGGCGTCTTACCGTGTGTCTGAGTCAATATGGTACATAACTTTTCTATAGCACTTGCTTCTACTTAGCGACAGGCAATTTTATATATATATTCTTTTAATTCCAATGTAGTTTACGGTGTTATATTGGTCATACTAGGTGTACAATATGGTGATTCATCAATTCTATATGTTGCTCGCTGCATGTCATGGTAAGTGTATTTTTTTTTTAAGATTTTATTTATTTATTCATGAGAGAGAGGCAGAGACACAGGCAGAGGGAGAAATAGGCTCCTCACAGGGAGCCCAACATGGGACTCGATCCCAGGACTCCAGGACCATGCCCCAGGCTGAAGGCAGGCACCAAACCGCTGAGTCACCCAGGGATCCCCAGATAAGATGTATTCCTAATCCCCTTCCCCTACTTCCCCCACCCGCAGCAACTATCGGTTCTCTGTTTTTGGTTTGTCTCTCTCCTTTTCCCTTGTTCATCTGTTTTGTTTCTTAAGTTCCACATATGAGTGAAATCATATGGTATTTGTCTTTCTCTGGCTTATTTTGCTTAGCATTATACTCTCTGGATGAAATGAGATATTTTTACCGAGAATTCTCATTCCCAAATTCTAGAATATATCTTTCTACCTACAGAGAGCATCTACTGGGCTCCCTCACATAGCTTTAATGTAGATTAATTATGATCTCTGTGCATATGCAGAATTTCTTGCAGCGAAGTCCTAGTACAGCCTATGTGCCTCTAATGGGTAAGAGATTCCCCTGCTTAAAATCCATGAGATATAAATGGCTGCACTTCCCATAAAGGCACATGTTTGCTTTTTACTATACAAGTACAGGAATGTCTTCTTCAGACTGTTAAACACATACATTAATTTTATTTACAGAGAAAATTCTACCTCAGGGCAAAGAGTTCACCCATTTTCTGCATAACTTCTTCATGAGATAGTTTCACTTTCTTCCCAGCTTTTAAAGCCTATTTGGGAGGGAAAAAAATACACACATACATACATATACGTACAAACATATCTCCAACAAGTAACAGAACCATAAAGCACATTCTAGAGCAGATGTAAATGACATCTCTTGAATGATGTCTTTGAGTCATTTTTCTTTGAAATTTCAACATCTTATTAGGTAGAAATTTTGTATTCCCTTGTTCTATTTCCCTTCCCACTAGCATTTTCTAGGATCTATCCCTAATCTCTTACTGAAAAAAAAAAAAAAAAAAAAAGCAGGACCTCTTTTCTCAAGTATAACTCCATTATTCTTACAATAAAAACAAAATAACAGTAAACACGAGTTTTGGTGTATTCTGAAAAAACTTTATATGTATTTTCAAGCCACTATTTGTCTCATAATTCAGCAAAGTACTTTTCAATCAAGATAACTGGTCATAAACTTTTTCCTTAGAGAGTAAACAGCTCACTTTTTAAAAAATTCAGTTACATTACAAATATTACACCATCAGAAAGAATAATTAGAGTTCTAAGTTTTCAAAAGTAAAAAACAAAAAAAACCTATAAAATTTTTTATTATATATGTAACAAGTGTTCTGTTTTTGCTTAAATTCAGTGTAGTGTTTATTACTACTTTATTGTACTCCTAAGTATATTGTTAAGGTGGGAAATTTGTATTTTTTCCCAAATACAAATCAATTCTTGAAAACAAGCATAAAACTGGCATAATTACCTCTGGAATTGACTGAATAGACTCAACAAATTTATCCAGTGATGCCTCCCAAATAGCCAGTTTCACTGCGGAAAAAAATAACAACAACGGAACATTTTTTTCATCATCATATTCATGTTAATACAGAATACATAAATTAACTGCCCAGTACCTTTGCTGCCATTTCAACAAGACTTTAAAAAGCAATGAGCTAACAATATACAACTGAAAACTTAAGAATAGTTCATTATCATAAAGGGCAGCACTAAAGTGAAAAAGATGGAATATACAGAGTAGATACCCAAGCCCTGCTGGCAGACCAAAGCGGTATTTAGTAGAATTCCTGATTTTCTAACACAGGATCTCGGAAGCCCAGAGTGTGTGTAAGGTACATCCTGAAGGGGAATGGAGCCAGGCCTCCTCTACCTTCCCCCACCCTCCTTCCTTTTTCTGGGGCTGTGTGTAAAGCTCCCAAGTCCCGAAGCCTCTAGAGTGGTGTGGATAAGACCATGTCAGACGCAGCCTTGTGGAGGGGGCACTCAAAAAATTCTTAGAGAATTTCTGCAGTTTTATTCAGGGGCATGCGTTTCTGTCCCATTGCTGTGAGAACTGGTGTGCACTTTTTCACAGAGGCCTGGGGCTTTCTCTGCCTGGATCAGCAACAACCTGAGAGCAACAACCACGCTGGAGAGGACAGGAGAACTAAGAGAATAATGATACTACAGAAAATATTTTTTGGGAGGGTAAGCTTTATCAATACGGTTAATAATGAATGAACAGCTTCTGCAACAGATACTCTATTCTCTATATGTTTTTTTTCTCTTGAGAAGAAATGTTATGGCTTTGCTGAGTAATCTGAAAATATGCCGAAATCTTTACTGAATGCTTAAACTTCCCCAATGAAATGAAAACTATGTAACATTTTTTCTGATAAGTAGCAATAACTTACCTGAAAGGCAAAGAGCATTAGAGAAAGCAAATTTCTCTAGAATGGCGTCATCTAAATCTAGCTCTGAATTTAATCTGATTTCCCCTCTGTGAAGTCTCGACTGTCCCCTGTGAAGAGGGAAAAAAATGATCTTCTAAATCTTAAAAAGCCTTTAAATTTTTTTTTTTAAACTTTTCCTTTTGAAGAAGTAGTCACCTTATACTCTTTCTAGAGGTCATTTTGGCAATTTGTACCAAGTCTTATAAAAGTTCTTAGGGATCCCTGAGTGGCTCAGCGGTTTAGCACCTGCTTTCCACCCAGGGCGTGATCCTGGAGTCCTGGGATCAAGTCCCACGTCGGGATCCCTGTGAGGAGCCTGCTTCTCCTCTGCCTGTGTCTCTGCCTCTCTCTCTCTGTGTGTGTGTGTGTGTTGCTCATGAATAAATAAAATATTTTTAAAAATAAAAAATAAAAAAAATAAACGTTCTTATACCCTTTGATCCAAGTAATTCCACATCTAGGAATTTATCCTAAGGAAATAATTAGAGATGCAAAGAAAGATCTGTGTGGGAAAAATTTTTTGACAGTCAAATGCTTAACAGTAAAAAATTAAGAAAGAAACTAAATGCTCAACAGGGGAATGGTTCACTTATAGCAAATCCACATGGCAAAAATTAATAAGCATGTTTTGATATTTTGTTAGAAAAGGAACATGATCACAGTAAATTGCTAACTGATCACATGGTGAATATAAAGCTATCTATACAATGTGACCTAAAGCCACAATGACACGGTAGAAACAGGGAGGGAGGTGGGGAAGCGGTAAAAAAAAGTGAAGTGCACATGTAAGGGCTTTGGGAGGACTGGGAATTTGGAAATAGAAATGTCAAAAGCAAATAGGAAAAATATAGGGTAAACCGTATGGAAGATTGAAGCAGGAGAGGGGCAAAGCTGTGGACCAGGAGGCCCAATGGAGAGCAGTGAGGTACAATGTGCTGACAACCTCAGGTGGAAGGAAGAAGAAAAGAGGAGAAAGAGCAGAGTTGACAGGATGCTTTAATGAAGGAGCCCAGCCAACATCACAGAACTGCTGGAGTCAGCAAACAGCTGGAATCATTGGCAGGACTCACGTAACAGCCACAGTGGTGGCAGCTGTGATGGGCTTTTTGACAAAACCAAATATGGGATCCGGGATCCAAAGAAATCTCAGGTGGGGACTTTACCCCTCCACAGACTATGAGGTAATAAGTGAGCATGCCTGTGTGTGTGTCTGTAAGTGCCCAGGAACAGTCTAATCTGGATGTAGAGTACAGAAGGGAAGTTCAGGGGAAACAACCACAAGGCCGAGGGCTTAATAAGAAAATGAATAACATTCTATTAGCTCTTCCTCTGTTGTGTCTCTCAGGTTCACAACCTGACTTTCAAGTATATACACTCTGGGCCCAGGCCCTCACGCACTAGTCAGGTGCCCAGGGCAGGACGAAACATCTCCAAACCTTGTCCAAAAGCTGGCTAATGCCATTTGCAGGGTTTTTTGTCAGGACTAAACGAAAGGATGCCTGGTAAGCACCTAGAACAGTGCCTGGTGCAGGGTGAGTGGTTTATCTTTGTTGGCTGTTATTATTTAGCTCTGATCCCATCTTGTCTGTCTACAGCTGGTGTCTCTTCCAGATTTTCCTAAAGCTCTGCTTTCATCACTTCCTTTCTTCCATTCTTAATACAAAGAATTCTTTTTCCATGTTCCACTAGGTCACTCCCCGAAGAAAAAGGCATTGCAGTTTTGATCACACTGCCTTCTCTCCACCCTGACATGTCTCCTCATCTCTCCCTGCCTGCTGAGACAAGAAAGTCAGCTGGTATGCTGCCTACCCATGCACCTTCACTGAGAATGCTGTGAGGCCCCCACTTCCTGCAGGCATCCCCATTTCTTAGATCACACCCTAATCTGTACTCAAAAATCAACAGGGAAAAAACAGACTTACTTATGAGAAACCTTTACTATAGTAACTTGACAGGTTCATTTTGATGAAGGCAGAGCATTTTACTGATTTAGGTTGCTTAGGACACTCAATCATTTTGGGATTAAACTATCTACTTGTTTTAATTTATGGGTAGCCTAATAAGTGCAAACCATCATGTTTACCTACTAATATTTATTATATAGTTTAGGCTTTATATTTGCACCAATAACCTTTTTCTTAAAGTCAGTCTCCAGACACATAAGTTGTTTATCACCTCCAAGTTATACCAAGTGCCCTTTTCGTAAACTCGATAAAATGCTTACTCTGTCTTTATGTAGGTAAGCTCTTCATTTTCCCAGTGCACCAGCGCGATTTCATAGGGCTGGATTTCATGCTTTTCTAAGACCTGCATCACATGCTTCATCTAGGAAAGAAGGAAGACAACCCGAAATTATACCTGACTCTCAGTACAAAACTATGGTACAGTGTTAAATGCTTATAATATTTTTCATCACATCAGATGACGTTTCTTCTGTTTAGTTTTTAATTAACAATACTTGTGCCTCAGAGAAACCTCATTGGCTACGATCCTGCCACTGAGCGAAGGTCTTCTGTTTAGTTTTTAAGGAAAAGGCAAATTCTTTGTGATATTAAATTCATCAAGATAATATATTGTTTTTATACTTAGAAAACACAGATTAACAAAAGGAAAAAAATTAAAATTATCTTATTCCAGAACCTAAGGAAAACCAACTAATTAACATCATGGTTTGTATCCTTTAAATCTTTAAAAAAATATGTAAGTTACATACCTGTAAAAATGTAAACTACATAAAGGTACAGAAAAGTGACAGTCTCTCTGCTTTCCTGAATTCTTAACTCCCAAAGGTAACCCTCACTAAATTTGCTGCATATCCTTCCAGATATTATTTTTTTAAAATGGGTATATATATTTGCTTTTTATAGAACATGAGATCATACTGTGCATGTAAACATTTTCAGTGATATTCTCTTAATACAGAAATGATTTATTTAATCTTCTTCAATGTCCACCCACAGATTATTTCTACTCTCTACTGCTACAAGGGCACAAATGTACTATTTTTATGTGTGTATCTTCATGGTCTTATGGGGCTATTTCCTTAGGAACTGCTAGATCAAAAGACATGCACACTTACAATTTTGATAAATGTTGCTAAACTCTTAGCAACATTTTTTTCCAGTTTTAGAATCCAAATATTTAGGAGAGCATTCTTAAAAAATATTGGGTATTATCAGCTTTTTATATCTCTGCCACTTCAAACAGCCAATTTTTCTTATATTTATTAGTCATTTATATTTGTTTTTTCTTCAGGAAAACCCCACCCTACCATTGTCATGTGTACGTGTGTGTGTGTGTGTGTGTGTGTGTGTGTGTGTGTGTAGGGAAGGTATATTACCTTTTAGTAAAACTGGGATTGTATGAGGCATGTTTTTTCACCAGCTCTGGCATTATAATGGTTATATTTTATAATCTGCTCTTTTAATTTAGGCAATTTCCTAGGAATAGATATTTTTCTACATGATTTTTAAGAACTGTAGTATATCCTATGGAGATATTTAATAAACTGCCTATTACATATTTTGGTTATTTCTAATTTGACCACAGTAAGTAGTACACTGATGGACATATCTGTACATCATTTATCACACATAACTGTGATTATTCCCTTTAGATAATTTTCAAGATGTAAAAACTTTGCTGAGTTAAATATAAAGCTTTTATGTGTATTACCAAACTGTCTCTAAAAAGACTGTAATAGTAGTAACAAACTGTGATTGAGATAACAAAGAAATTATTTCCTGTGCATGAGTAGGTTCTAGAAAACTTTATTTTTAAAAGATTTTATTTATTTATTCATGAGAGAACAGAGAGAGAGAGAGAGAGAGCGAGAAAGGCACAGACACAGGCAGAGGGAGAAGCAGGCTTCATGCAGGGAGGCCGACATGGGACTTGATCCCGGGTCTCCATGATCACACCCTGGGCTGAAGGTGGCGCTAAACCGCTCAGCCACCCGGGCTCCCCGAAAACTTGATTTAAAATAAGATGTAGTGCAGCCAGCTTCCACTGAATTGTATTTCATTTTTTAGATTATTATGTACAAAGTATACGTCTTTCTCTCTGCAGTGTAGCTAGGATTGTTCTGATTCTCACAAATTAGACTTTCTCACAAAGTCCAGGGGATAAAAAAATGGAAGAAACTTGTAAGCCAAAATACAATCACTTTAGAAGATAAAAATGCTAGGATAAATGATGACACATAATGCAGAGCAAATAAGTTGTGAATTATCTGCTAATTTATCTTCTAGTGGTTTGATTATTGAGTGATAATTAACAATTTTTTTTCTCAGAAAACTAAATTTTTATATTTTTATACTTTATATATACTTACAGTCTTGTCTTTCACATTCCAGAACACAGCAGCTCCTTCTCTGATTTAAAAGAATAAAATAATCAACTAAGTTAATGCTGGAATATATTCTTTAGGGCCATACATAAAGCCATGCTTAGGTAACTTCTACAATATATCCAGAAGGCAATTTTTAAAAATGTGATTTATTACTTATTTGACATTATGGTTCCTAGATGGATTTGCTAAAACAAGAGCTATTATTGAACTCTTGATAAAACCTGAGCTCCCCCAAATTCATGACTTCTCACATGGTTTGCAGAATAAATATTATTGTAATACTATATAACTTCATGTATCTAGACTGTTTCATACCTGGTTCAATTCTGATGTACAGAATAAGGAAAATTTTGGGACCCGTCTTAGCTGTCATTAGGCAGATTCTGCTATAGGAAAAGAATAAAGGATCATGCTTTTAATAGTTGTGGAATAAAAAGACTGAGATAAATTAAAGCCAAAGATGGCTAAAAGCACCCATGGAAAAATGCCACCCATCCTTACAGTGCTTGGAGCAGTACAATGAGGCCATCTATTTCTGGCTTTGAAAGAATATAGGGTCTAAAAACTAGAATGAACTTGTTTTGATTCCTAAAGTTTGACATGGTGAACTGTTTTTGGTGGTAAATAAAAAAAAAATGAGAGAGAGAGAGGAAAAGAGAGAGAGAAGTTATGGCTCTGAGTTATTGCACTGGAGGAAGGAAAGGTGGAAATGAAGGAGAAGGTAAAATTCTGTGGTCCCCGACCGTTATTTAAATGTTTCTTAAGCACCGTGCTTAGTATATGTGTGGATCTCTGTGTTGCATCAAATACAAAGATGAGTATGGTCTAGTTCCTATCCTCAAGGAATTGCCAATTTAGAAAAGACTGACAGACCTCTAATTGTAGTGTGGCGTGGTTGGTGCTCTGGGAGTTATGCAGCTTGTACTCTGGGATGTCCATGGGAGGGACACAGTTCTCACAGGACGAGCAGGACGAGCCAAATGAGACAATGGGAAGCGGCAATACAGCAGAGGAAATACTCTGGCTCCGTGAGGAGGTATGAGGAGCACGACAACATCTCAGAATAGATAGCTAGTTGTCTGCAAGGCTGTGGATGCGGGCAAGCAGGAGGCAATCAGACCAGAGAGACAGTGACAAGGAGTTTAGTCCAATTCCACAGAATTTTAAGAAGGAAAGTGGAGTGATCCAAAGCACCTACTGAAAAATGATCCTGTTTATATACAGGCAAGCAGACTGGCAGAGGGGTGAGTGGACAGGCAGGGGGACCAGAAAGCAAGCTGGGCAACCAGCCAGTGTAGGATCTATGATGTAGATGTGATTGGTATCTTAAGCCACAGGTGGAGTATTCTTCGTTCAGACTATCACTTCTAGGCAGATGAGAAATCTGGGGATCATATCCCTCTCCCTTCAGGGAGCTGTGCTATGCAGTGTGGCACTCAGAGACCATGTGGGCTGTGGAGCACTTGAAATGTGCCTGGTACACACCAAGTAATGCTGGAAATGTAAAACATGCACTGAGTTTCAAAGACTTAGTATGAAAAGAACAGTGTAAAAATCTCATTAATTATATTGACTGATCACATGTTGAAATGAGAGCATTGTAGATATGTTGGTTAAATAGAACACATTATTAAAACTATTTTCAGGCAACATATAATACAATTCGTGTTCAAATTCAAATCTTTTTTTCTAACTTTTAAAAATGTGGCTATTAGAAAATGTATCATTACATATGAGGCTTGCCTAGTGTTTCTACTGGATGGTGCTAATATAGAGGCCCTCAGAAATCCAAATTTCAAGGGGATGCTATTCTAAAGCTATTCTACTTGGGCTGAATGTTGAACTCTTGATTATCTCCAAAGTTATGTCAAAAGAAGGTAAGGCACTGATGGGAAGCAAGCTGGAGCTGCCAGTTATCATCAACTACACAAAATGGTATCACAAACATTTTATCAAAGTTTGAGTTCTTCCAGACATTCTATGTGTTTCCCTTCTGCCACAGAATAGTCCCATGACTGTGGTTAATTCCCTGAATCTCTCTCACATTAAAAAAAAAAAGAAAGAAAAGAAAAAAATCTCTCTCACACTGAGTTTCCCCAGCTCCTTAAGAGCTGTGAGGACAAACAAAATTATTTTAAGTGGTTTCTGTTATCATAATCATTCTCAATCAGCTACTCGGGAGTATCTGGTATTAAAACAACCTTTAAATAAAAGGATTAAGTATATGTGACTCAAGGTTCTAGTCTGAAGTCTCTGGAGGGGTAAGGTGGTCTGAAATTATAGCAAAGATGCTACAGAAGGAGAAAAAAAAGGAAGAAAAGACAGAGGGGTGGGAACATGAGTCTGATAAGGAGCACTGCAGATGAAAAATAGGATACTTTACCTACTCTCAGTAAACAAAACTCCAGACTTGTAAAGACAAGCCATGGAAAAATTATTTATTTTAAAAATTGTTTTATAAGAGGATTTACCAGAAAATTCCTAAAATTGACAAAATCTCCCAGATCAAATAAGAATCTAAGGAGAAATTTAAATCACAGTAAGTTTTGAACACATTTACTATTAACGGAGAAAGTGCACCTTAAAGTTTAAAGATCATGTTATCTGGACAGCCACATACAGAAGAATGAAACTGGACCACTGTCTTACACCAGACACAAATATAAACTCAAAATGGATGAAAGACCTAAGTGTGAAATAGGAAATCATCAACCTCTGTGACCTTGGCCATAGAACTTCTTACTAGACATGTCACCAGAGGTGAGGGGAAAAAAAAGCAAAAATAAACTATTAGGACTTCATTAAGATAAAAAGCTTCTGCACAGTGAAGGAAACAATCAACAAAACTAAAAGGCAGCCTACAGAATGGGAGAACATATTTGCAAATGACATATCTGATAAAGAGCTAGTACTCAAAGTCTATAAAAAACTTTTCAAACTCAACACCCAAATAATCCAGTTAAGGCATGGGTAGAAGACACGAACAGACATTTTTTCCAAAGAAGACACACATATGGCTAACAGGCACATGAAAGGATGCTCAACATCACTCATCATCAGAGAAATACAAATCAAAATCATGAGGAGATACCACTTCACACCTGTCGGGATGGATAAAATTAGCAACACAGAAAACAACAGATGTTCGCAAAGATGTGGAGAAAGGGGAATCCTCTTACACTGTTGGTGGGAATGCAAACTGGTGCAGCCATTCTGGAGAACAGAACAAAGTTTCTTAAAAAAGTTAAAAATGGAACTACCTTACGATCCAGCAATTGCACTACTAGGTATTTACCCAAAGGACACAAAAATACAGATTTGAAGGGACACACGCACCCCGATATTTATAGTAGCATTATCAACAATAGCCAAACTATGGAAATAGCCCAGATGTCCACTGACAGATGAATGGATAAAGAAGACGTGGTATGTATACAATGTAGGATATATAGATATATAATGAGTATATATATAATATATATATATAACTTAATATATATGTGTATATATATATATATATATATATAATTCAGCCATCAAAAGAATGAAATCTTGCTATTTGCATCTATGTGAATAGAGCCAGAGTGTACTATGTTAAGTGGAATAGGTGAGCCAAAGAAAGACAAACCAAATGAGCTCATTCATATGTGGAATTTAAGAAACAAAACAGATGAACATATGGGAAAAGGGGAAAGAAAAAGAGAGAGAGATGGAAACAAACCATAAGAGAGTCTTTACCACAGAGAAGAAATGGAGAGTTGATGGGAGGTGGGTGAGGGATGGGCTAGATGGGTGATGGGCATTAAGGAGGGCACCTGTTATGATGAGCACTGGGTGTTATAAGTGAGGAATCACCAAATTCTACCCCTCAAACCAGTATTATACTATATGTTAACTAACTAGAATTTAAATGAAAATTTGAAAAAGGAAAAAAATATTACAATGTAGAAAATGTGCAAAATGCAGAAAGACAAAAATAAACAAACCGTCTGTAGTTCTACCACTCGGAGAGGAAAAAAAAAAAAGACCACATTATCGGACAGCAGGCCATTTCCCAGTAAGGGTTGCTCACTTGTCCTACCTGAAGAAGAATATTGTTCCAGGATCGCCTTCTTTTGCCGAGTGCTCCACACCCATCACCAAAATATTTGCTGCATCTGTGATTTAAAATAAATGAGTGAAAAGCTACAATCAGAAACTGATACAAGGTTTAGGAGTCACCTATGAACTTTTAATAACGTATCTATGATCATTCCTTCATATACCATTGAGTGTTCGGTAAGATTCTATCCAATTTTAGGTTTCTGAAAGTATTTGACATTTGAAAATGAAAAGACTATAAGAAATTACTTTCACGAAACACTGAAACACCTGTGACACTATTATTAGTACTATTTAAAACTACTCACTGACACTCATTTTCATTCAGTAGTCACTAGTCCAGTTAATAATTATTAAAAGTCTTAGTTTTAATACAACTAAGATTCAAGACTTAAATTATCTACAAAATTCTCTTCTTTTAAATACCATTTTATTAAAAATATAGTATTACAAAACAACTCATTTTGATGAATTTTATTTTATTTTTTTATTTATTTTTTGAATTTTAAATTATAGAGAGAAAATACACAGAAATGAAGATATTGACCATTTCAAAACATATCTGAGTTCAATTAATCATGAGAACTACCACAGTAGCCACCCATAACTATTTTAATATTTTAACCTTTCAGATATTATTAAATATACATATTATATACATATATTTATCAATGAGTAGTTGCTTTCTATATAAGCATCGTTAATATTTGTTATAAGTATGTAAATATTCTACAAATTATAAACATACATGAATATATCAATACATATACTAATATTAATATGCAAAAAATTATATGTAATTTCTTAACCAAAAAGTAGGACCAACAAAACTTCAAGTTTCTAATAGAGGTTGGGGTACAGGGTGTTCAGATAAAGACCAAATTCTAAACTACCATTTTTGGGTGAGTTCTAACTTCCTTAGGCACTACATCCTACAGAGGGCAAAGTTCACCCATGTAGCCAAGAGCAATGTAAATAAAATAGAAAAGACCTGCCAGGGCTGAGGGACTGGTGCTAGAAGCTAGCCCAGGGTACCAGGGTCACCCTGCTGACAGCCCTTGGAATCAGCCAAGGATATACCTGGGAAATTTTTTATCCTCAGAGTTCTGGATATAACTGTTTTTCTCAGTTAATTTATGTTTGTTTCTGCCATCAAACAGCACAAAAAGTCTGTTTCGATCCCTGAGGCTGAAAGAGCACAATGACATTTCAAGAGTTTCTCATGGGGTCAATGACTCTTTGAAGAATTTTCTATGTAGCAGGGAGGTTTTCAACCTGCTATTTTTGCTACCTTGTGGTAAATTCATGAATTTCCATCAGAGTGCTCCAAGTTACTTATCTTTTAATAAAAATAGGGTTTTTTTCCCCAAGAATCCTTCCTGATATTATCCTAAAGTCCTCTTTTTATTTTAATTCTCTTTTTAAATATTCTTTGTAGTTCTCTTTTAGTTCATTTTCTTAGTTTTAAAGTATCAGATTGTACTGGTAAATTTTTCTTTAAAGGCTCTCCCCCATATTTCTGTCAATTGCATGGTTCTTCTATAATACTGAAACAACTTTTTAATGCAATAGAAATGAAGTGTCACAGACTTTGATCATCCCAAGTCACAGTGATCCTACAAATAAAGCTTAATAAATCATACTGATTTTAATCTGTGAACTAAGTTCTCTGTAAATACATTTTAATTTTTTATCTTTGCCATTTGTATAAAGAGACTCAACATTTTTGTGATAATCTTTTATTTTTTAAAAAGATTTAGTTTAGAGAGAGACACAAAGAGAGACAGCATGAGAGTGCAGGGGGAGGGGCGGAGGGAGAGGGAGACAGTCCCAAGCAGACTCCCTGATGAACACAGAGCCCGATGACCTGGGCTTGATCTCATGACCCTGATAATCACCTAGGTCAAAAATCAAGAGTTGGATGCTTAACTAAGGGCACCACCCAGGCGCCCTTGATATAATCTTTTAAAAAGAAAATGAAATGTAAACAAATGCATATTTAAGGTATATCAGAGGAAAATTATTTTCTCATTCATTTTAACATACTTGGCCCCAGGTTCAAGATGTACCTCTAGGCAAGCTTGTTACTTCAACATATCCACGGGAGGTCAGATCTTGAGAGAGAGTCCCAAGATGATATTCATCTGCAGTTGCAAATGCTGTGCAGTGCATCAGGTCCTGTGTTGGCGAGATTAGCATGACATGGGTTACCAAGAGGTTAAAATGTCTGTGATGGCTATCATCTTCCAGGACTCCATTTTGCAAAGCAAGCACTTGAGAGTTTTCAATAGACATCTCAAAAGTTCATACAAGAGGTTCCATAAGGGTGAAGAGAAAGAAGGTATAGGGAGACAGATTTCAGCCCAATCTGTGAAAGGACTTTCTCTTGCCAGCCACCAAAAAGATATAATGGGCTAACCAGAAAAGAGAGCTGCTCCCCCCATTGGTAGTGTTGCAAGCACAGATTGAACAAAAGATATGGAGAGGATTAAGGCATCATATGGCCCAGGGTGGAATGATATTTACAGTCTCTCCAAACCTTTTGCTTCCAGGACTTTTTCACAGCAACATAATTATTAGAGATCATCTAATTTGTCACTAGCCTTCTACAGCAGAGATTATTTCAAATCTATAAAGGAAGCACAGAACTTTTACTCTGGTTAATATTAAATAAAAAGTTGTTTATCTGAGAATGTGTCCCAGTTTCATTAGTGCATGTTATCTTGCCTGTGTACACACATGTACATCTGTGCTATGTATGTCTATATAGTACAGAACATGGCACAACACAGTGCTTCTGTCACATTGTAAGTCACAGCCCATCAGTGAGTTCCTGCTACCGATTTAGGTGGCTCAAACCAGCTTTTAAAAAAATTAAATACAATAAAATAGAAAATGTTACAGTCCATTATTCAGAGTAAAGCTAAATGTTATTTTATGAAGTTTTTTTGGTCACTTATGTGCGTCTAAGTATGTATAACGGAAAATATGTTTCTCACTAGGGGATGAAGTCAATTAAGATTAAAAGCTATTGGCAAAGGCTTCATGAGTTCAGCACAGAATCTGAATAGTATTTTTTAAAAAATCAGAATGACAAAATGCCTATTACAGAGTTGTGAAGTTGAAACAAGCTGATGTCAGCTGCTCAAAATCATGGCTAGCATAAATGATCAATTATTTGTTAGATTATAATTTTTTTTTTTTATTTATTTACGATAGTCATACAGAGAGAGAGAGAGAGGCAGAGACACAGGCAGAGACACAGGCAGAGGGAGAAGCAGGCTCCATGCACCGGGAGCCTGACGTGGGATTCGATCCCGGGTCTCCAGGATCGCGCCCTGGGCCAAAGGCAGGCGCCAAACCGCTGCGCCACCCAGGGATCCCTATTTGTTAGATTATAGTGATTTCTGTTGCATGTACAGGTATGTTTAAACCATCAAAATTTATGGGAGGTGAAAAAGTTTATCTAGTAATTTACATCTGAATTTTCATATGGTCATCATTTTATATTTCTGATCAGGACATGAATGATTCTATACTCATTTGATATATATGCTGCTTTTGCCCATCACTGGTTAAAAGAGGTTTATGAGTCACTGATTCAAAATTTCCTCCTAAGAGTTCTTCATCTCAGCATTGAACTCTTTCCCTTTGTGTTACGTGCCTAGTACAAAATTTCAAAAAGTAGTATATTTATTCCTTCCTGTATCCCACATTTGTTACCTAACTCCTGGTCCTATCTCAAAGAAATGGCCTAACCCTGCTTTGCCTTTTCCTTAGTCTGTTACGCTGTTTTAATGTGTGGTTTAAAAAGTAGCAGAGTAATAAACAGAGGACCTGAAAATACACACAAACCAAAAAGCCTAAAATCAATCAAATATCCATTCATCAGCAAAATGATTTTAACTTAATTGTGAGGGGATAAAGAAAAGAAAGTCAGATGCAGAAATTGTCGTTGAAATGTGAGGATAAATGGATGTAGCACCCCTTCTATTATCAGGTAGGCTGATAAGCTGATTCCCAGAGTCACCATGAAGGGTAAGAACATACTGATACACAAATCAAATGGATCCGTAGAGCCAGAGTATACATGGTATAGATTACAAAGGCATCAATTACATGCTCCAGGTTTAGAACTGCTAGCAGTTATCTGTTCAAGGCTCCATGGTGTTAGAAAGAGCTGATAGGACATGTGATTAAGCCAGATCAAAGAGAGGAATCCTGGTAACAGGCATCAGGGAAGGCCACAGTGGGTGGGCTCGGCTCTGCAGGAGACCCAATTTATCGAAGCTTGCCAAGAAAAATCAGTCAATTAGGTTGGATGTCAGAATTACTTCTGTGACTACTACACCTGACACGCTTTAGTCTGGGCTGGAAGGAGAAGGGCAGGGGGCACAAAAAGGCAAGAGATGAGGAGAGGGGTGCCCAGGTGGCTCAGTCGGTTGAGTGTCCAACTCTTGATCTCAGCTTAGGTCTTCTTTTTCCTTTAAAGATTTTATTTATTTATTCATGAGACACACACACACAGAGAGAGAGAGAGAGAGAGAGAGAGAGAGAGAGAGAGAGAGAGAGAGAGGCAGAGACACAGGCAGAGAGAGAAGCAGGCTCCTTGCAGGGAGCCCAACATGGGACTCGATCCAGGACCCTGGGATCATGCCCTGAGCTGAAGGCAGACAGTCAACGGCTGAGCCACCCAGGCATATCTTTTTTTTTTTTTTTTAAAGATTTTATTTATTTATTCATGAGAGACACACAGAGAGGCAGAGATACAGACAGAGGGAGAAGCAGACTCCTCACAGAGAATCTGATGTGGACTCGATCCCTGGACCCAGGATCATGCCTTGAGCTGAAGGCAGATGCTCAACTGCAGAGCTACCCCAGGCGTCCCTCAGCTCAGGTCTTGATCTCAGAGTTGTGAGTTCAAGCCCTGCACTGGGTTCCACACTATGTGTGAAGGCTACTTAAATTTTTTTTTAAAAAATTAAAAAAGAGAGATGAGATAAGGGGCCCCAGTCCCAGAACTATTCTAGTAGAGGATCTTTCTAGAACTGTACTGAAAATGGCAGAGGCTGATTGTCTCTAGAATCAGAATCGTAGACTGGCAGCTCAGAGAACTAACCAACTCAAGAGCTGACCCATCCATTGTTTTTTTTTTTTTTTTTTTTTTTAATTTTTATTTATTTATGATAGTCATACAGAGAGAGAGAGGCAGAGACATAGGCAGAGGGAGAAGCAGGCTCCATGCACCGGGAGCCCGACGTGGGATTCGATCCCGGGTCTCCAGGATCGCGCCCTGGGCCAAAGGCAGGCGCCAAACCGCTGCGCCACCCAGGGATCCCCCATCCATTGTTTTGAAGATTTGAATTGTTCATCAACAACGAATTAAAATTTCACACAAAACCCAGATTTCCACCAACTTCTGATCAAGTGGAATATCTGGCAATGATCAACTAAGATTGGGGTGTGTGTGTGTCTAGTTCTCCAGTCAACCCAGTCCCTCCCCTTCCCTACTGTCCCCTGCCTGCCTTAACATCATTTGTCACCAACCAGACCCATCCATGCTAAAAAGGTATATTACTGCGCATGCTCAAGGATGGGACAAAGCAGTCGCTGCTTCCATGAGAAAGTATATTGATTCCAAAGAGATTAAAAATAAATCTTGAAACACAATCTGTTTTTACTTAGCCATTCCAAGGATTTTTGCAGACTTTCTGAAGATTGTCACCTTTCCCTCTCTGTCTCCTGTTTGGTTTGGCTCAAAGTTCCAGCCAGTGTCACACAGCTTACATGGTTTGCCACACTACTTCCCTCCTGCCCACTGTGGCCTTCCTTGATACCCATTACCGCTTACCTCCTGAAGCACCTTGGATCTCAGTCTCTCTTTAAGTTGTGGCTGCTTCTATTAATAAATGATTCACTAAGTTTTTCAGTTTGCTAGCTCTTTTCTAAGTTTTATATCCTTTAAATTTCAGGACTGTACTCAATCTATATGGTAAAGGGAAAGATGGGCCCATGGAATGTGTTCTAGTCACATTGTTTCCCTATTATATTCTCACACTGTGAGAAGCTTTTGTTTCCATACATGTCTTTTTCTGGATTTTTATAATGAATCACATATCTATATATAGACAGAGAGCGTGCAAATTTCAGGGTTTAGGATAAGGATTAACAACTCATTCTTAAATGTGCCAAATTAACCTAAAATAGTTACTGCATTTAACATCTACGTTTAGGCCTTTCTATTTTAAAATGTTAAACAAAAACAAAAACAAAAACAAACCCCTCAAACTCAAAGCCAAGAAAGCCCCTGTGTTTCAATATGTGTTTCATTTTTCTGGCCACAGAAAACATGTTCCAGCAGATGGGGCTAGAAATCTATATATGATTCTTGTTTTAGCACATTACACACTCTGATGGAATGCTTTTCTTGAAAAAGAAAGTTTATTTTTATTCATATTCTAGTACTAAAGAAATTTAATGCATTACTGCAACGTTACTTCTGTACTGTCAAAGAATGCATGTTTTTCCTGTTATGTATACATTAGAGATAAAGTTTTAAAACACAAATACATTTTATGTTAGCAGTACAATGCTTCGGCTTTCAAGTTTTTTGACTACACTCCATGGTGAGAAAGCCTTTTGTATACATAGTACACATATGCATATGTGCATACATACCAGTAATTGGTACAGAAAATTCACAAAATAGTATTTAGCTCTACCACAGTAATACATTCTGATGCTTTTTATTCTAGTCACAAAAAAAGAAAAAAAAAACAACCAACCCAAAACAAACAACTATTAACAACCCACTAGTTAACTTTACAGTATACAGTGGTGATCCTCTGAAAATCATTAGCAGGCACCCAGCACCTTCCCTTTCGTGCCCACCTCCATGCTGCTCAGAGCAGTGGCTGTCATCCTCCAGCATGTTCCTCCTGAGAGACAGGACATACCAATAGGGAGCACTGCTGCTGCCAGAATAAACTATGAGCCAATGGCACATGGGCTGAATATCTTAGTAGGTTATGATCTCTGCAAAATGACACCAGGTAAAGACTTGATTCCAGTGGAGAGGGTGCTTAACCTCATTCAGTCAATTTGAGAGCATGCTATGTGGCAGACGAAGAGGGCAAGTTCAGAAGCATGAATGGGGCAAGTTCAGAAGCATGAATGGGGCAGTTCAGAAGCATGAATGGGACAAGAGAAAGCACATTCGCTCTCTGGTACAAAGCAGAGTCCTTCTTGTCTCAGTCTAGAAGGGGAGATAGGGCTATACCACCAAAAAGAATTTGTCAGCCCCATGATGCCCTCCATCTGGGCCAGACAAAAGCCAGTCTTTGGCCTTGGGGATAGAATATCCAGTCACATCTCAAGACTATGCTCACCTACGAAAAGTAAGATCATCACAAATAACGTTCCATGGGGCACCTGGCTGGCTTGGTGGGAAGCATGCTACTCTTGATCTCGGGGTCATAGGTCAAGCCCCACGCTGGTGTAGAGAATACAAAAAATAAATAAACAAACCAAAAAAAAGTTCCAAAATTGTATTACCTGAAATCATTCTAAAAATGCCATCACAAACCTAAGTTTTCTATGATTTCCTTGTGCTTTTACAGTGACAACACAGCTTCTGTTTTTGCAAGACTCCAACTGAGGTCACATCTATCATGTTACATTTCTCTGATATAAGAACTCAAGAAATAGGACTCCTTAAATTCCATGATACAAAATCATGATTTTCTCATAAAATATTGTTATGCTTTTCTTTTTTTCCTGTTAAAGAACAACAAATGTACAACCCAGGAGAATTTCCTTTTTTTCTTTAATCATTGGGCTTCTCAGAACTCAATATTCATACCAGGTACTTGGAGCCAGTTACTTCTCTGTTTGTGTCAATTGTTGGTTCCTTTAAAACTACACTGAATTTTGAAAATCTACCTCAAACCCGTTCCTGGAAACAGGGCGGGGGGGGGGGGAAACCCTTAAAAAAGAAAAAACTAAACAATTCAAAAAAATTGCCTCCAAGTCTGAGGATAGCCCAAAGAAATAATGCCTCTGAGATAGTTTACGACCAATAACTACAAAAAAGTGGTATCTCCACTATATCAGCCTCTTCATTAAGAAACTTGATTATTCTGTGATGTTAGATATAACAAAAGAATAAAGGGAGCAGATCTTCCTCTTTCTTGGATTTGCCACGAATTAAGGTTTTTATACCTAATATCATCTGTCACTTAAATGCTGAATTTCCCAAACTACCACAAAGCTAAACAATACAATTAAAAAATCAGGAGCTACAAGGAAAAGACTAGCACACGTGCAACACTTCCTTCATTTCTACTCTAGGTTCAGAGACCCCACACAAGAATTCAAATAAAGCTAGAGTCCAAACTAAAAATCATGAATCAACTCCTAACTTCATAACCTGAGGATCAATACTGAAGGCCTTTAAGACCTTTTTGAAGGAAGTCAACTATGCAGTAAGGAAAAAACCCCACAAATTACACGTTTAGGGTACCCTCAGAATTAAAATTTTAAGACTGATATTTTAATCTGTTTTCTGATAGATTCAGAAGGCCTGATCAAGTTTTGAATATTTTATATTTCCAGTGTTAATGCTGATGACCATGGACCTCAAAAATCCCTTGTCTCTCTTCCCTCTTTTCCAATTTAACAAATGTTTATTAAGTAGAAGGCAGAGTCCTAGGTATTATGCAAGATACAAAAGTTATTAGCAAAGGGCTCAATCCTGATCTTAAATAGTACTGATCATTCAGAAGCCAAATGCAATTGTAGCTGAGAAACTCCCATAAACTTCTTAACAGTGAATGAAAAAACCCCCTTTAAACCTCAAAGGCTAAAGAAGCAAAACCCTGTTTTCTGAGTGTACTTCCCATGTCATCTCACTAACCCATCCCATACAGTTACCACAGACTAATGAGCACTCACCTGTCTGCAGAGCTACTAAAAAATGGTTATTTTAATTTGATGAAGAATTTCTATAGTTTGAAATTTTTTAACTGGGTGTTTTTATGGTACTACTCCAACACTGGACTTAATACTGGTCTTCTTTCTCAGTTTCCTTAAGTCTGGAACTTGTCACAAACTACATTTTTATATTTAATTTTTTTTAAAGATTTTATTTATTCATGAGAGAAACAGAGAGAGAGAGACAGAGACAGAGAGACAGAGACATAGGCAGAGGGAGAAGCAGGCTCCATGCAGGGAGCTGACCTGGGACTTGATCCTGGGTCTCCAGGATCATGCCCTGGGCTGAAGGTGGCGCTAAAATGCTGAGCCACCGGGCTGCCCTATTTTTGTATTTAATTTCCTATACTTTGTCTTTAAACATATTCTTAATTCTTAAAACTAAGATGCCGATTCCCTGGGATACCTGGGTGGCTGTCAGTTAAGCATCCAACTCTTGATTTCAGCTCATGTGATATCTCAGAGTCCTGGAATCGAGCCCCACATGAGGCTCTGAACTCACCATCCACGCAGTCTGCCTGAGATTCTCTCCCTCTCTCTCTGCCCCTCCCCCTACTCATATGTGCATGCTCTCTCTCAAATAAATAAATCTTTTTTTTAAGATTTTATTTATTTATTCATGAGAGACAGAGAGAGAGAGAAAGGCAGAGACACAGGCAGAGGGAAGAAGCAGGCTCCATGGAGGGAGCCCGACGTGGGACTTGATCCTGGGACTCCAGGATCATGCCCTGGGCTGAAGGCAGGCTCTAAACCACTGAGCCACAAATAAAGAATAATAAATAAATAAGTAAATAAATAAATCAAATCAAATAAATAAATCTTAAAAAAAAAAAGGATGTTGATTCCCTTTGGATATTACAGGCTTTTACTACTAGGCTTCAAAGATCTTGTTGCCAGCCCTCTTAATGTTCACAGTACAGCTGTGGTGCCATGGATACTAGTTACAGTGCAAGCAATGATTATAAAACAGACTGCCACCACCACACGTTTTTACCTCATTGACAGACAGAACTGGAAGGTTGGTCCTGGATGGCTGCCTGGTCCTCGATGCCTTTAGTGGTCTCTTGATTTGCGGAAAGTCTTGCTTAGGAACAAGTGTTTCTGTTGATATAGATGAGTAATGCCGCTCTAATGTTTTTATAAACCACTTAGAACCTAATAGATTTGGTCTGTGAGTCACTTTCCTGTGAGTACCAAAAGATTTCCTGGTTGGAAGGTGCACTTTTTCTTCTTGGCAATGCACAGCATTTAATGGAGAGAGTATGCTTGTATTTGAGATTTTCTGATTCCTTTCCAGGACCTGGGACTTATTCAAACCACCAGCTGCTGTATCAGGAAAGAACAAATCCAAGTTTTGACTTGTTGTGGTGTTGCATGTCGTAGTCTTAAATTCCTTAAGTGGTTTTAACGTTCGCTGGACAAGTCTTTGGCACTGACACACTTTTGATAAAATACAGTGAGATCCGGCCAGGGCTCTGAAAAGTCTGGATGACATTACCACATCCCAAGCTAAAAGAAAAAGAGTTTTAGAAATTTGTTTTTTTCGTTTTGTTTTTACATATTTTCAAATATATACAATATTTTCCTAAGTAATAAACAGATTTCTGTAAAAACATTTACAAAACAAACATACTTTAACCTGAGTCTAGTAAAAGAATGAATTTAAAAAAATAAATACAGGTGTTTCCACCACGTTTCCTTTGATCAACCTTTGGCCTTCTTTCTGGAAGATTACAACATTATAAAGCCAATGACATGACAAGGACCTAAAAAAGAAAAGCACAGTAATGGGATCTCTTCATATATTTCATTGGCATACGAACCGTTTAAAAGAACGATTCTCCTGAATTCCTTTATTCAAAATTTATTCAATGAGATATACAATGAGTTAGGGCCAGGGATGCATCCATGAAAGGCACAGTCCCTGCCATCCAGTGCTAGTGGTCTCCTAGAGACAGACATTTTCAACAGCTCATTATAACTCAGGGGGATAGGTCCTAGGTTCTACAAAAATCTACAGCACAGGGTGCAGAGGAAACATACAAGAAGCTTGCCTGATTCTACATCAAGAGTCAGGAAAGGCTCTCAGAAAGATTTGAACTGCTTCTTGAACAGGAAAGTGCTTTTCAGGTTGAGACTGGGCCTGGTAGTGGGGGTAAGGGATGTGAGGCACTGAGAGAAAGAAACACTCCAAAGGAAAGAGACTGCATATGTAAGTAATTCCCCCTTTATTTACAGCACAAAATATTTGTTCTTTAAAAGCAAGCCTAATTTATAGGGGCATCTGGGTGGCTCAGCCGGTTAAGCATCTGACTCTTGATTTCGACTCAGGTCATGATCTCAGGATCCTGAAACTGAGTCCTGCCTCGGGCTCCACACTCAGCAGGGAGACTGCTTGAGGATTTCTCTCCGCCCCCCCGCCGCTCTCCCCCCAACTTGTTAACATATTCTTCTCTCTCTCTCAAATCTTTTTTCTTTAAGATTTTATTTATTTATTCATGAGAGACACAGAGATGGAGGCAGGGACATAGGCAGAGGGAAAAGCAGGCTCCATGCTGGGAGCCTGACGCAGGACTTGATCTCAGGACCCCAGGATAACAACCTGAGCCAAAGGCAGATGCTCAACCACCACTGAGCCACCCAGGCGTTCCAATAAATAAATCTTAAAAAAAAAAAAAAAAAAAGTAAGCCCGGGGCACCTGGGTGGCTCAGATGGTTAAGTATCTGCTTTCGACTCAGGTCTTGATCCCAGGGTCCTGGGATCCCAGGGAGTCTGCCTCTCCCTCTCCTTCTCCCCCTCCCCCTGCTTGTGCACACACATTCTCTCTCTCTCAAATAAATAAATAAATAAATAAAATCTTAAAAAGCCTATACTGGGGAATCAATAATAATAATTTATAAAAATAGCATGTTAGGTGCTAGGGGTATATGAGTGGATCAGTCATCTCAGAATTCAGTCTAGCTGGGTAAACAGAATAATGTAATAAGTTCTGAACAGAGCGATGTACCAACTGCTATGGGGACCAGAGGAGGGAGCATCTGGGGTAATGGGTGGGTGGGACATATTCACAGAGGTGACATCTGAACTGGTCTCAAAAAGCCTGAGGAATCATCAAATCAAACAGCTCAGATATAGACTACTGTTTATCTGACAACTGGAGTGCAATCACAGGGGAGGCAGGAGTAAGTTGCGGGAGATTAGGACAGAGGAGGAGCCAGGCATCAGACAGTGAGTGATGCAAAAGAGTGTTTACAGATAGGGGGAAGCCAGAGGTCTTAAATGAGACGCTCACACGATCTGATGTTGTTTAAGAAACCTATCTTTGGTAACAGGTAGAAAAGGAACAGAGACTAAGACCCTACTCACTGAGTATTGTCACACATGAGGCTCTGGGCTTTACCTGAACAGAACCCCAGGAGGCATTTTACAGATGATGAAGCTGAGGCTAACAGCTCAGGTAGGAAGTTACTGAGATGTAATTACATCCCAGGCTTTTCCAATTCCAAAGATGACACCTAACCACTGTGCTCTATCACCCACCTCCTAGAGGAGGACCAGGGTGCCTCACAGCAATGTTTAGAAGCTAGTGCTTTCAAAAATATTTCTGGAATTATGTGTTTAGTTCTAGTCCAATTAGCTATTATAGTTCACCTTTAATTACTACTATTCCATGCCAGTTGAGCCAGTGGGTTTTCGAAGAACCTAATTATAAAAAAAAAAAAGTTAGAAATTTGTATTCACTGATTCTTTTCTAGGAAATTCTTACCTTGAAACTAGAGACTGCCTTAATATAGAGGCCATGCAAAGCATTAGGACAAAGAATGCAAAAGCTACAGGACAAACAAGAAGTGTGTCTTCTGTCTTTGCAGAGAAAGATGTAGCACTTAAGGTATCCAACACACACACCAGATTTAGGCTTTGTTAAAAACTGGGGCACATCTCAGGAAAGTTAAATTGTAATTGCACAAACTAAATTTAAAGGTTAAAAGTTTATTAGATTGTTAATTACTCTAAAAGCTCTGCATAAGCTCTGCGCAGATCAGTGGTGGACACGAGTCTACCAATCCCCTAGCCTGGGTTCTCTGCCTATCTTGTCTTCCATTCTCCCTCAATCACTCCCTCCCGGGCTCACATGCTCCCAGCAGTATAATAGCCACTAAACACAAACAACGACTGACCACTTGAAATGTGACTCAAAAACGCTAAACATTTTTTGTACTTGGCTTTTACACTTCATACAAAAAAAGTAAAATATCTCCGTAACTTTTACATTACTTGTTGAAATAATATTTTTAAATATATTGAGCTAATAAGTAAAGTAAATTAAAAGTGATGTCACTTATTTTTAAGGTTAAAGCTCCTAGAAAACTTCAAATGCCGTTACATAGCTTGCATTGTGTTTCACCTAGAGGGTCTTGCTCTAGATCCGTCTATATCAACAACTGCAACCTCACCCGCTCAATTTCAGGTGTGCTACTCCAAACCCCATGTCTGGTCTTTTAAGCTCACTCTTTCTTCTCTTACTCAATTCTAACAATTCTTCAGCCTCAATAGGACCTAACCATAGAATGATCCAAACACCCTTCCGGTGTCCTTCACTCCCCACACCTCTCTTCCACCACGCTCAGTCTACATTCCGCGGCCTATCGTCTCTTCCTCTCCCATATACTTCAAACCCCTTGCATCCCTCTCTCTTCCACATCACATCAACCAGAATTAAATATAATTCACCTAATTTGTGGGTGTACTCCTGCCTCTGAACATGGCTACAACCAACAAACCAAGCCAACTGGTCTCACTTTAAAATCATGACTTCTTCCTTCAGGAGTGCCTTTCATGCTGCTCGACAACCATAAACTGTTTCCCTACCACAGTCTATTCTGTGCTCTCTCCTCACCTCCGATGCCTCCTCTTCCATTCTCCTTCTCATTAATGACCTTGTTTCCTCTTTTGTTGACAGGGCAGAAACAATCAGAAGAGAATTTCCACAAGTTCTCACCAGGATCCACCTGCCCACCAGCTGCTTCTGTGTGCACGTATTTTGTCTTCCCTTCTGCTGCCACAGAAGAGCTGCCCCTGGTCCCATCTGGAACCAAGTCCTCCATGTGCATACCAAGTCTCATCTCTTCCTGCCTATAGCAGGAATGGTTAAACTCTTCTTTTCTATCTCATGCTATTTATTTTTCCTTCTTTCCAGTAGTATATTCTTTTTTATTTATTATTATTATTCTTTTTTTACGATTTCATTTATTAATACCAGAGAGAGAGAGAGCAGGAGGAGCAGAGGGAAAGGGACAAGTGACTCTGGGATGAGCATGGAGCCCACTATGTGACTTGATCTCAGGAACCTGAAATCATGACCTGAGCCAAAACAAAGAGTCAGATGCTTAACCAACTGGGCCATTGGGGTGCCCCTCTCCAGCATATTCCTATTAGCATATGACTATGCTTTGATTTCTTTCTATCTTATAAAAACAATTCTCCCCTGACTCCATCTTTCCTTCCACATATTACACCTTTTCTCTGAGTTAGTTTCCTTTAAAAGTTTATTAACTGTCTCTAACTCCTCTGATTTTCTTGAATCCACTCCAATCAGGGTTTCCTCCCTACCGCTTCACCAAAACCCACTTGTCAAGGCCACCAATGACCTCCATATTTCTAATTCCAATGGTCACTTCTCGGTCTTCATTTTACCTGACTCACCAGCAACATCAGATAAATTGATCACTCTACCCTCCTGGAAGTACCTTCTTCACTTGGCTTCTGAGATATGACACTGGCCATTGTCCTCCTACCTCATTGGTTGTACCTTCTGTCTCTTTTGTGTTTTCCTATACCCTCAACAATCGAAAGCACCACAGCTCAGTATTGGGGCCACTTCTCTATTCTCAGCTCCTTATATACAATCTATGCTGTAATGAATAGCAAATATTTATCCCTAAACCACTCCGATAAGCATGAAAAATACAACATGCTCAAAACAGAGCGTCTAAAATCTTCCCACAAGTTCTACTCTTCCCATAGTCTTCCCCATTCACAAAATAGCGATTACACCCTTATCTTTGCTAAAGGCAATAACCTATAATCCGCTTTGCCTCTTCATTCCCCATACCCAATCTGTCAGATTGGCTTTTTTTTTTTAAGTTTTTTCTTTTTCTTTTTTTTTTTTTTTTTATTCATAGAGATGCAGAGAGAGAGAGAGAGAGAGAGAGAGAGAGAGGCAGAGACACAGGCAGAGGGAGAAGCAGGCTCCATGCAGAGAGCCTGACGTGGGACTCGATCTAGGGTCTCCAGAGCACGCCCCGGGCTGCAGGCGGCGCTAAACCGCTGCGCCACCGGGGCTGCCCTCAGATTGGCTTTATTTGCACCAGGTCTCAACCAACACTGCTACTATCATGATCCAAGCTGCTGTCTTTCCCACAATTACTGAAATAGCCACCTAACAGGTCTCCCTGCTTCTGTTCTTTACCTCCTACAGATTCTTCTCAGTGCAGCAACCAAAGTGATCCTTTTTTAGACCTAAGAGGGATCACGTCTTTTCTCTTGCACAAAATTTGATGCCAGCCTCTCATCTCACATGAAACAAAAGTCAAAGACCTTAAACTGGATGCATGATCCCACTTTCTGGCCCTTTATCTCCACCTTAACATCTCCCACAGCTCTATGCCTTGCTCATTTTGCTGCAGTCACTCTGTCTTTTGGTATTTTTTTGGTACTTACTATTCCTTGTGTTCTTCTCCTAGGAACCTGTAAAGCTCACTGCCTCACCTCCTTCAGATCTTTGCTCCTGTGAAGTCTTTCCTAACAACCTGATTTAAAATCCACAATCCAAGACCCACTATCTTCCTTCACTTTTTATTTTTCCATTGCACTGAACATCACTTGGACGCCTCATATTTCTAATCTGTCAATTCTTACAACAAAGATGAACTGAGTTCCTACCATGTGTCAGACTTTCTCTTCAAAGAATTAAAAATAGACCTGCCCTACGACCCAGCAATTGCACTGTTAGGGATTTACCCCAAAGATTCAGATGCAATGAAACGCCGGGGCACCTGCACCCCGATGTTTCTAGCAGCCATGTCCACAATAGCCAAACTGTGGAAGGAGCCTCGGTGTCCATCGAAAGATGAATGGATAAAGAAGATGTGGTTTATGTATACAATGGAATATTCCTCAGCCATTAGAAACGACAAATACCCACCATTTGCTTCAACGTGGATGGAACTGGAGGGTGTTATGCTGAGTGAAGTAAGTCAATCGGAGAAGGACAAACAGTGTATGTTCTCATTCATTTGGGGAATATGAATAATAGTGAAGGGGAATATAAGGGAAGGGAGAAGAAATGTGTGGGAGATATCAGAAAGGGACACAGAACATAAAGACTTCTAACTCTGGGAAATGAACTAGGGGTGGTGGAAGGGGAGGAGGGCGGGTGGTGGGGGTGAGTGGGTGACGGGCACGGAGGGGGACACTTGACGGGATGAGCACTGGGTGTTATTCTGTATGTTGGTAAATTGAACACCAATAAAAATTAATTTATAAAAAAATTAAAAAAAAACAAAGGTGATAATATTCATGAAAATGAAACACAAAAATTCCTGTCGTTTGAACCTTACATCACATTGGAGGTGACAGACCATAAACTGGATAAGTCAGTGAAATATACGTTAGGTAGTGACAAAGCTAGGGGCGCCTGGCTGGCTCGGTCGGTGGAACCTGGGGCTCCTGACCTCGGGGCTTTGAGTTGGAGCCCCATGCTGGGTGCAGAGATTACTTAAAAATATATGTAAGTTTTGTTTAAAAAAAAAATAGTGACAAAACTAAAGGAGAAACCAGAAGAAGAAAGAATAGATTCCCCTCTCTCTTTAGAATATAAGCTTCTTGAGGATAAGATTTGTCTACCGTTCCTGCTGTGTCTTCTGTAACCATAGTGCCCAGTATACAGTATTCAACTCCTATTTTCTGAATGAAATACAAGGCAGCTACTGGCACATTTCCTACTTCTTAAGAACAATACCAAACAATAAAACAGTATCAGCCAGATTACGATTCAACGGATAAGCGGCGCTAATCCTTTGGAGCATGCCTTCCAATTCCTTAAACTCAATTTTATAAAAAAAAAAAAATCTTTGCGGTAGGCGCTATGCACTGGCTCAAAAAAAGGTTCAGTGAGTGTTTGTGGACTGCGTGCTTCAGTCCCAGCTAAGTCAACCAAAGATCACCGCAGCGGTTCCGGTGGAACCTGTGACCCCAGCGGTTCCGAGCGGCCGCGATCAAAGGTGAGGCCCGTGGTGAGGGAACCATACAAGCTACCGGGGAAAAGCAGTGCACTAACCTCTCCGCCGGAAAAGAAGAGGGACGTGCCAAGCGCGCAAGCTTCCGCGACCCCGCGGCAGGTGAGAGAAGAGCAACAGCACCCGCACCTCCCGCTTCCCGCAGCCTGCACCGCCGCTCCCGCGGCCCTCCCGGCGCCCGCACTGCGCAGGCGCACAGAACGCCAGGCCCTGCGGAGCGTGAGCCGCCGGGGCCACGTGACCGGCGGACCACGTGACCCGCGTCGCCGCGACCTTTTCCGCTCCCTCGTGCCAGGGACCTCCCGGTCCCTGCTTGCTTCCGCCTCCGCCCGCTTCCTTATTCCGCTGCTCTCGTCGCCCTCCGCTGTCCCCGCCCTCGTCCCCGGAAGACCTCCGCGTCCTCCAGCCGGCCGTTGTTTGTCTCTTCCACGGGCGCTAAATAAAGTTTCTTTATTCAAACGCATTTTTTTTAAGCCCCGGCCCCTCCCTCTCCCGGCTCCTCCTCCGCTCCGGGACCGCCTCCCTCCCTGCGGCGGGTGCGACGCGGGCGGCGGCAGCGATGGCCGGGTCCCCGGCGTCCCTCTCGGGACGGGACGTAGGGTTCGTGTCGCTTTCCTCGCGCAGTCCCTCCGCTGCTCTTCCTCCTCCCCGCTTCTGCGGGAAGCCGGGCGTCGCCGGCAGCCTCTGGGTAACCATCGGGGGAGTGCGGCGGGCCGCGGGGCCCCGGTGCCGCCGTCCGGCCCCGCTGCTGCCCGGCGCGTCTGCTCGGCGCCCCCCGCTCGGCGGCCCGGGGCGCGGGGCGGGCTGCGGGCTGCGGGCTGCGGGCCGCGGGCCGCGACTGCCCGCCGGGGACCCGACTCGGATCGGCTCTAGCCGTGTGGCCGAGCGCCGGCCGCCGCCCGCGCGCCCTGCCGGAGTCCTCCGGTCACCCCGCTTCCCCCTGCGTCCTTCTTCGGGCCTTTTGGGAGGCGTTGGCCTCCCTTCCCGTTAAACAGCTTGTCTGTCTTTGAAGCGACCCCATCCCATGCTGCTCTTTCCTTTTTTTTTTTTTTAAATTTTTTTTTTTTAATTTATTTATGATAGGCACACAGTGAGAGAGAGAGAGAGAGAGGCAGAGACACAGGCAGAAGGAGAAGCAGGCTCCATGCACCGGGAGCCAGACGTGGGATTCGATCCCGGGTCTCCAGAATCGCGCCCTGGGCCAAAGGCAGGCGCCAAACCACTGCGCCACCCAGGGATCCCCCCTTTTTTTTTTTTTTTTTTAAGACTTTTCATGAGCGTCTCAGAGCTTAAGCCTCTTCTGTCCCCTTTCGGGGTGTCCCAGCGCCGAGGCTGTGATCATTTTCTATTTTGCTCTAACTAAGCGCTCTTTTGGGGGAGGCTAAAATTCTCTGCAGAAGTCAGGAACCTCAGATTTGTCGGGGGAATAAATGGGTTTCTTCCCAGGGCCGTGGAGACTAATGGGTGATGTCGCTGTCCGGTGCCTGCAGCTCTTCCCCCTTCTACGCGTCGTGTCACACATTTCTGGATGAGGTTGTGGAGGGGCATTAAAAATGTGTGTTCGTATAGACTGGGCGGCCGAGTTGGTCTTTGAGATTCGTCTTGAGGCTCGCGCGCGCGCGCGCACGGGGAGAGCACTCAGGACATTGACCTTGTCAAGAGTAAGGCTGAGGCTGGAGGGGCTCGAGTGGCCCAGAATTTGAGCAGACCCGCGGGTCCGTCGTGCAAAATATATTATAGGGGGTGCGCGGAACCTTAAATGTTGAGCGCTGGGTTCCTCTGGCTCTACCCTGGTCTCTGACCTGGGACTTCACCCTCCCAGATGCAGGCCTTTGAGGAAGCTCTGAGGAAATCTAGTACCGTTGACTCTTAGGCAAGGTGGTGGCGGGTTGAGGTTAGGGGTCCCTGACACCCCTCTTTCCCCCTTTGCTGGGAAACCTGCCTATAACTTTTGACTCCCTCAAGATTTAACTACTGCACTTGGGTGATCTGAAGATATACATGAACTGATAACCTAAGTTTTGTGCTCTAAAGATGCACAGAATTTCATCACTTACCGAAGTCTGATTTTTTTTTTTTTAAAGATTTTATTTATTTATTCATGAGAGAGAGAGGCAGAGGGAGAAGCGGGCTCCTTGTAAGGAGCCCGACGTGGGACTCGATCCCGGGTCTCCAGGATCACGCCCTGGGCCGAAGGCGGCCGCTCAACCGCTGAGCCACCCAGGCGTCCCCCAAAGTCTAATTTTCTTTTTCTTTCTTTCTTTCTTTCTTTCTTTCTTTCTTTCTTTCTTTCTTTCTTTCTTTCTTTCTTTCTTTCTTTCTTTCTTTCTTTCTTTCTTTTTATTTTTATTTATTTATGATAGTCACACAGGGAGAGAGAGAGAGAGAGGCAGAGACACAGGCAGAGGGAGAAGCAGGCTCCATGCACCGGGAGCCCGACGTGGGATTCGATCCCGGGTCTCCAGGATCGCGCCCTGGGCCTAAGGCAGGCGCTAAACCGCTGCGCCACCCAGGGATCCCTCTTTTTTTTTTTTTTTTTAAGTCTAATTTTCTAACTGAATCTTATGCATTTGCTTAAAAATTCATTGTATAGGGATCCCTGGGTGGCGCAGCGGTTTGGCGCCTGCCTTTGGCCCGGGGCGCGATCCTGGAGACCCGGGATCGAATCCCACGTCGGGCTCCCGGTGCATGGAGCCTGCTTCTCCCTCTGCCTGTGTCTCTGCCTCTCTCTCTCTCTGTGACTATCATAAATAAATAAAAAAAAAAATTTAAAAAAAAATTCATTGTATATAAAATGATCTGTAAATTTTGATTTTTGTATGCCAAGAATCAAGAGTATCCTTTTTTTTTTTTTTTTTAAATGCAAGTCTCAAGTTTTTCCTCTAGCTTTTTCATTCTTTGGCGCTTCTGGAAAGTCTCCTAATTTTTTGGTTGGGAGAGTGTGATGGTAACCTGCCTTAATTTTGTTTGGGGGCAGAGTGGGATGGATTGGATGAAGTCACTGTGTAGGTAGAAAAGGCAGGAGAAAAAAAAAAAAAACTTTGAGGAGAATTAAAATTGGCTAAGAACATAGACTAAAAAGAGAGAAGCAGGTTCATAACTATCTTTATATTCTAGCACATTAGAGGCTTTCATGCAGGTTTACATCCATTGCCTCATTCATCTAAGTATATGAAGTCACCTACTAAATAATAAACCTGGCACAAGAGCCTGTTTTTTTTTTAAGATTTTATTTATTTATTCATGAGAATACACAGAGAGGAGAAAGAGAGAGAAGCAGAGACACAGGCATAGGGAGAAGCAGGCTTTATGCAGGGAGCCTGACATGGGACTCGATCCTGCGTCTCCAGGATCACGCGCCGGGCTGGAGGGCCGCTGAGCCACCAGGGCTGCCCACAAGAGCCTGTTTAAATTTGCGGATCAATTCTTTTAGTTTTCTTTTTTTAGGATAAGTCCTTTTTCTGTCTTATCGCATTGTTAAGTTAGTTTCTTATTCGAGAAAATAAGAGGAATAGAATGGGAAAGATAAGAATCACGAAACGGGATCCCTGGGTGGCTCAGCGGTTTAGTGCCTGCCTTTGGCCCAGGGCATGATTCTGGAGACCTGGGATCAAGTCCCACGTCGGGCTCCCAGCAAGGAGCCTGCTGCTCCCTCTGCCTGTGTCTCTGCCTCTCTCTCTGTGTCTCATGAATAGATAAATAAAATCTTTATTTAAAAAAAAATCATGGAACAGACTCAAGGGGAGAATCTGAGATTAGAGGTACAAAGGCTGTTTAGCTTTCATGACCTGTAAAATCAGCAAAGTTTCAGGATTTTCCTATGTCTTAATATAGTAGTTGAACAACGGTGACTTACTTTATAATACTTGTATGAAACGGAATTTTGATTCAAATGAAACTGGAAGGTGGCCAATCCGCTGATGATAACGCTAAGTAATGTACTGTGTATGTGGCTCTCTTTTCTAGATCGTTTGCATATCTTACAATTAAAGACAGAATACCACAGATCTTAACCAGGGCTATTGATACATTGCATCGACATAAAAGTGAATTTTTTGAGAAACATGGAGAGGTAATACCGTGTTTTCAGTTTAATTTTTCGTTAACTCTTTTTTTTTTTTTCTCGTTAACTCTTTAACAGAAACACAATAGCTATTTTCCTTCTGTGGTAAAGATCTTGCCTCTAGAAGATAAGAACCAAAGGGTTCCTAAGAAGAAACTTAAAAAAAAAAAAAAAAGGATAGAATCGATAAGACAGGATAATGTGTGTGTTCTTTGCTTTTCAACTGAAGAATTCTGAATTTCAGTGTTTATAATGGTTTGTAAAAGACATGAAATGTAGTTTGGAAAGCTAGTATTTTTTTTCCTTCTTTAAGACCTTAAAAATGAAAAAAAAAAAAGACCTTAAAAATGTTTTATGGTAGAGGACTTATTCCTATATAAATTAACTGTTTACATATATGAGTTATATATTTATGGATTATTTATATATTTTAGGTATATAAATTTTTTTCATTTTTCTGCAGAAAGGCACAGAAGCTGAAAAGAAAGCAATTTCTCTTCTTTCTAAATTACGAAATGAATTGCAAACAGATAAACCAATAATCCCCTTTGTTGAGAAGTTTATTGATACTGACATATGGAATCAGTACCTAGAATATCAGCAGAGTCTTTTAAATGAAAATGATGGAAAACCCAGGTGGTTTTACTCACCTTGGTTGTTTGTAGAATGCTACATGTATCGTAGAATTCATGAAGCAATTATCCAGAGGTAAGTACATAACATCAAATTATAAATGTTTAGATGACTTAATGCTTTTTTGAAATTATAAAATGATAAGTTTAAAAATAAAAACCAGTGGAAGCGAGAATTCAGTTCAACAGATACTAGTGGCAGTATTGGACATTTCTGCAAATGTTATTGATATAATAGATTCTTGGCAATTATATCTTAATATAATATCCGGGGGTGCCTGGTTGGCTTGTTTGATAGAGCATGTGACTCTTGATCTCAGGGTTGTAAGTTCCAGCCTCACATTCAATATAGAGATTATTAAAAATGAATTTTTTTCAAACTCCAATAAAAAAATACAAAAAAAAGGCAAATCGAACTCCAATAAAAAAAATACCAAAAAAAAAGAATTTTTTTAAAAGGTTATAATATCTGAAATGGGAACTAATTAAAAATTCTCATGAAGACTTAGTTTTAGAGTAAAATTATATTTCCTGAACAAAAAATGTTAATTTCAAATAATTATTTCTTTTTTTAAATAATAAATTTATTTTTTATTGGTGTTCAGTTTGCCAACATACAGAATAACACCCAGTGCTCATCCCGTCAAGTGCCCCCCTCAGTGCCCGTCACCCATTCACCCCCACCCCCCACCCTCCTCCCCTTCTACCACCCCTAGTTCGTTTCCCAGAGTTAGGAGTCTTCATGTTCTGTCTCCCTTTCTGATATTTCCTACCCATTTCTTCTCCCTTCCCTTCTATTCCCTTTCACTATTCAAATAATTATTTCTGTAAAACAAGACAGGACAAAGGAGGTAAGTACATAACATCAAATTATTTATTAAATTATTTATAAAAATAGATAATATGTCAGTTAATTTGGGGTAAGAAGTCAACAGAAATGTGATCACTACAGTGTTTTTTGCACTACCTTAATTCTTAGCCCCCCTTTTTTTTAATGGCTAGATTACAGACAGACTTTAAAAGTTAAACACGAATCAGAATTACTTTTTATAGGCTTGTTTATACTAATTTTATTTTTCCTAGGAAAATTCTGATATAGAACCGATTTAGAAAGCAGAAGAAAATGTGTATCATCCTTTTAGGTCATTGGTTAAAAAATACAGGTTTGCTAAAAGAAATTCTTTGGTAGTAGTTCAAAACATAGGAAAGGATAATTTAGAACAATTGGTCAAATCAGCACTAATAATAAAATAAAATAAATATTTGGGGAAACAAGTTGAGTCTATTCATTAGCTTTTTCTATCTAAATCTTTAGAAATTATTTTTTAAAGTGACAGCTTGTTTTTGCTGAATAAGTGTATTTAATTAATTAGTTGTGTCTCACTCTGCAACCACTGCTGAATAAATGTGTTTTAAAACTTTTGCTTTAAAAGCAAAGTATATACACTATTAAAAATGTAGCACATTGCCTGACACAGGGGAGGCACTTAAGCAAGATGATAGCTAATACTAGGATCTGTCATGTTTTAGACACCAGCTATGTTCCAGTTACTTTGCAGCCCACTGAAGTGTAGATATTAATTATGGTTTTCATTTTACAGTTGAGGAAACTGAGGTCTGATGATGTTATTAATAAGTTACCTGGGGTTACATGGATACATGGCTGGTAAATGGTAAAGCCATTACTTGACCTTGGTCTGTGTAAATCTGCTTAGAGCCCTCATTAAACCTTCTTTTTTCAAGTAGCAGATTTGGATGTCTGTCAGGGACTAAGATGAGTCTGAAATTCTGGGTGATGGTTTCATAAATCTGGAAAATATCCATGGTATGAGTCAAAGCTGCTGAACTGTTGAAACATGGGGTAGCTCCCTGTGTGGGATTGAGGGAGTCTGGAAGATAGAAAGCTAAAAGGAATATGTTTCTAAGTTTGATTTTGGAGGTACATTAGGTTCAGAATTTAAAAATTTAGGGTAGAAGTTTACAAATCTAGCTGCACATTTATAACCTAGTTAGAGGAGAAATTTTTTTTTTTAACATGCAGGGTTTGAAATCATTATATTAAAATAAACACCAATGGTTTAATTTATTTGCAGTAGGGCCTGGGCATCAGTTTTTCTTTCCATGCCTCAGGGAGATTCTGGACATCCTGGCTTGATATACCCACTGGTTCAGGAAGAGCTTTATTAAAAGGGGTCAAGGCAAAATATAGCTTTAAGTTGCAGGAACAAGAATGTTAGAGCTCTCCTCAAGTGATCTCTGTGGCTGACACTCAAAAGTCAGGAAATTTGTAGCAGAACTCAGGTTTTAGGTCTATGTGTAGAAGATATATCCTTTTTTTTTTTTTTTTTTTTATGATAGTCACACACAGAGAGAGAGAGAGAGAGGCAGAGACACAGGCAGAGGGAGAAGCAGGCTCCATGAACCGGGAGCCCGACGTGGGATTCGATCCCGGGTCTCCAGGATCGCGCCCCGGGCCAAAGGCAGGCGTCAAACCGCTGCGCCACCCAGGGATCCCTGGAAGATATATCCTATAGGAGAACTAGTGCTGAATATTTTTAAATGTCCAATTCATAGAAGGAATTCCTCTCCTGGGCCTGTGATAACTCCAGTGACCAAAATAGGATCTTTACTTTTCTAGGCTCCCAAAGTACATATTAGCTTTAAGACATGTTTATGTTGATTTTGCCCCTTACACTGAAATATACTTCTAATTTTCTTTGCCAAGACGCATGTTTTATAGTTTTTATAAGAGTTAAATAGGTTGGGCAGCCCGGGTGGCTCAGCGGTTTAGTGCTGCCTTCAGCTCAGGGCCTGATCCTGGAGACCTGGGATCGAGTCCCACGGGCTCCCTGCATGGAGCCTGCTTCTCTCTCTCTCTCTCTCTCTCTCTCTCTGTCTCTGTCTCTGTCTCTGTCTCTGTCTCTCATGAATAAATAAATAAAATCTTAAAAAAAAAGAGTTAAATAGGTAAGTAATCTGCAGGTCTAAATTAAGACTTAAAGCATCAGCCGTATGCAAAATTTAAATAGATTAAGTGAATGTACTTCAGATATTGAAAAATAAAAGTACAAAGAAAATAGCAGACATTTTTAAAGCTTTTAATAAAGTATAATGTATATCCAGAACGTATCTTAAGTGTTCAACAATCTTTACTAGAACACACTTAACGTCCCAAGCACCCAGATCAAGAGGCAGAGCCTTACTAGGACCCAAAGAAGCCTCCCCTATGGCCCCATTCCATCCTGCCATTCCCACCCCTCAAGGATAACATATCCTGACCTGTGTTAGTTTTGCCTGTTTTAAAAACTACATTTAAAATTAGTGAAAATTAATTATGAAATTATTTTGGAGATAATTTTGTGTCTGGTCTCTTTCATTCAGTGTACATTGTCAGGATTCACCCATATTTTTGCATATAAATGTAAATAATTTTTATTGTTACATCAGATTACATTATATGCATATATCACAGTCTGTTTATTCTATTGTTGATGGATATTTGAGTAGTTCCCAGCATGGGGTTATTATGAAGAATACTGCTACAAACACTTTAGCACATGTTTTTGGTGAGCACACACATGTATTTCTGTTGGGTGTAATCTAGGACTGGAATACCTGGTCATAGTTTGTGCACATATACAGCTTTAGTAGATTCTAAAATAGCAAACACTTTTAGAATCAGAAATCATATATAAGTGTAGGAGTTTACTAAATACAAGGAATAAGGCTCACTCTTAATATAAGTTGTGACTTTAATGATTGACTAATAAAACAGTAGAACAAGGATTGGCAAATTGTTCTGTAAAGGGCAGAATAGTAAATACTTTAGACTCTGGGGGCCACATGGTCTTTGTTGCAGCTCCTTGGCTCTGTCCTTGCAGTGCAAAGCAGCCACAGATAGTGTGTAAATGAACAAGCATGGCTGTGTGTCAATAAATGTTCTTTATGGACACTGAAATTTGAATTTCATGTGTTTTAAAATAATCCTTTTTCAACCATTCAGAAGTATAAAAATCATTCTTAGCTTACAGGTCATACAAAACAGAGTGGGCCACGATGGGTCTGCGAGCTGCAGTTTGCTCACCCTACTCTTGAACCTATGCATCCAAATAATTTTTATCTTTTTAAGTCACTTTTTTTTTAAAGATTTTATTTACTTTTTGAGAGAGAGAGACATACTAAGAGAGAGAGCACAAGTGGGAGGGAGGAGCAGGCTCCCCAGTGAGCAGGGAGCCTGATGCGGGGACTCTGTCCCAGGATCATGACCTGAGCTGAAGGCAGATGCTCAACTGACTGAGCCACCCAGGCCCCTCCCCACTTTGTAAAGGTTTTATTTATTCATTTTAAATCACCTTGAGAAACTAATTTATTTCAGCAAAGCTGCCATTGCTGAAGTCATCTTTTAATTCTTTGGAACTTCTTTCAGAGCCGGTGTACAAGTCTCAAAAAGAAATTAGTCTCATTATTAGTCATTCTTCGTTTTTGATAGAAAATCTATTACTCCATTTGATTTACGCCTGTCACTCTACTGAAATTTCTCCGAGTGACTTGGCTCCAGATTAACTCTAGAAAATAAAGATGTGCTATCACTGATGGGACGTTCAGTAATGTGCCACAGGTTCTAAAGGAAATTCCAAAAGTGCTTTGAGCAATGGCAGCATCCTTGGAGTAAGGATGTAGCTTCCCAGGTGACTGGAAGGAGACCACAATTGTGTGGATGTATGAATCCTGGTATGTGTTTGCTTTTTCAGTGAGTCTCACATCAGTCATATTGGTTTTATCCTAAGGCGGATGACCCATGGAAAGAGGTGCTAACTTAGAAGATCAGCTGATCTGAATGTCTCTTCTATTTGGTTCTGTAAAGTCTATGATGTTCTTATTTATACTTGCTAGATATGTTATTAGGTCAGTATTAATATTATTTGATCTCATTGGACAGCATAAAGCCCCGGCATGTATATCACCATTGGTCAAAACCCAACAAACTACATATATGTCAAAATTTGTCAAAATTTGTTATTACAGTAAAATTTATGTTAATATTTTCTGATTTCTTGCTAGTTGTGTTCCCATAGTACCATGTGTTTGACTCTATTGGTAATTATCATATTATATACAAATACATGCATATATTTGTTTCGTGAAACCCTGCCACATTTAGCATGCAAAAAATATTTGTTAAAGTAAGGCAGTTATCTTGAAAAGTTGTTTCTTTCTCCTTTTGCTCTAGAAACCTTACTGGGTAAATAATTATGGATATGGATATATCAGTATAATTATTCCAAATTCCAGTAAAATATTTGATCAGGGAACTTCTGACAGTTAACTAAAATGAGTTTGGGGATTTATTTTTGTGTAATTTGATCAAATTGATTTATTTTGTGTAATTTGATAATTATTTTTCTGTAACCTGATTTATGTTTGATACAGTGTCTATTACCAGTAATATTCTCTTTCCTTTAAAAAAAACTGCAATTACCCAAATGTTAAAAAAAAAAAGAAGGTACAGAGTCTTATAAATGTTTGTCCTAAATGATTTTCTCCTCCTATAGTCCACCAATTGATGACTTTGATGTATTTAAAGAATCAAAAGAGCAAAATTTCTTTGAGTCACAGGAATCTATTGTTGCTTTGTGCACTCACCTACAAGAGTTGGTAACAGCTATCAAAGACCTAGATGAAAATCAGCTGAAAGATGAATTTTTCCGACTTCTTCAGGTAAATGTGATAATTAATCTCATGAGCCTATTCATATATTCAATTAAAAAATGGTATTAATTTAACAACAAAGCACATGTATGTATTGTCACTTAAGTTATAATGGATCTTTTTTTTTTATCATTTTAGTGATAGTGTTTCCACCTAATCTCTGAAAATGTTTTTTTTTTTCTTAAAGATTTTATTGATTTACTCATGAGAGACACAGAAAGAGAGAGAGAGAGAGAGAGGCAGAGACACAGGCAGAGGGAGAAGCAAGCTCCATGCAGGCAGCCCGACATGGGACTTGATCCTGGGTCTCCAGGATCATGCCCTGGGCTGACGGCGCTAAACTGCTGAGCCACCTGGACTGCCCCTGAAAATGAGTTTTGAAATCTTCAGTTGGAAGTGATTTTAGTGGCACAGGAGTCATCTGGCTTTATAGCTTCTGTCATTCTTGAGAGAAAATATTTCACAGTCATTTGGTTGGCCTAGCCTGCCTTGGGCTTGAAAGCTGGTTCTGTTACTTTGTTATTGGACCTGAGGCAAGGTACTTAATCTGTCTGAGCTACAGTTTTCTCACCTGTAAAATGAGGATGGCATATTTACCTTGTCATTTGACGTGAGAATGAAGGTAGATTCAATTGTGTCAGCGTGGAGCACAGAGCCTAGAAGAGCTAGCATGCTGCTGTTGTCAGGTGGAAACACTCAGGTGGTCAGTGGCCTGTTTAATATGATTTTATTACATTTCTTCATCTGTCTTGCATTAAGTTTAGTTTTTAGTTCTCATTCAAGAGATTTAAGATGAGTTATTAGAATCAGAACTATTTGAAAATGTGTGGTTTTATGCAACAATATACCCAGCCCTCATCTCCCAGACAAAGTTAAAAACATTTTCCAGAAAGAGATGCTGTTAGGAAATGCCAGAAAGAGAGAGAAAGCAGGGCAGGAGAATGGGGGTGTTGGGGGAGATGCAAGGGAGCAGTTTTAAGTGGGCTGCCAAGCAGTTTTAAGCCTCAGAGGGTGATGGGGTAAGACACGAGACAGGTGAGGGAGTGGGTCACATTGCAGGTGTGGGGTAGCGTTCCTGCCAGGGTACCTGAGGTGGGAGCCTGGCAGGTCTGTGAGAGAAACTGCAAGTAGATTCTGCAGAAACGAAGTGAGATGAGAGGACTGGAAGGGCCACAGAAGGCCTCATAAGCATTTTTACTCACATTGCAATCATCGGGGAGCTATTAGAGTATTTTCATCAGAGGAGTAAGAAGGATCGACATGTTTCAAGGATTACTTCTTGGGACACATGGAAAGGGTACAAGGCTAGACACGGGGAAGTCTGTTACTAATGCAACTTGGGTGAGGGATGACTGGACCAAGAAGAAGTTTAAATGGCACCAGCACTCTGGAAATACTTTGACAATACAGATGGTGGAATCCTGTTAAAACTTGAAGGACACGCAGTGTAAGGTGCATGATTAAGAGGAAAGGCTTATTTTAAGTTGGGAAGAAAAGTTGTTTCAGGGTATTGTTAAATAATAAGCCTAATTATCCCCACCCCCCCACTCCCCCACTCCACCCCCGCTGGAACTATCCTTTATGCACAGTTTAGAATTTTAAAAAGAAGGAAAAAAAGCAGTATCTAGTCAGTCTTTACCCCTCGATGGCCCATTGTTTCAGGGAGCGACCTTTGACTTATCTTTGTCCCATGAGTCTAGTAAGTTGTAAAGAAGGAGAAATACCACTGTGTTTTCTGTCCTTGAATTTGGCCGCATAAATGAGGCCAAAGTTTCAAAGTTTCCCTCTGTTAGCCCTCACGATGACCAGCAGGTTAACTTCCCACAAGAAACCTGAAGGTGTTTTAGTTTGCAGGGAACACTGATCTGTTTTTAGAAGCCAGAACACCACCACCATCCACAGAGTGAACAATTCAGTGCCTGCTCTGTCAGACTGGATGCTGGGCTTGTGATGGCAAGGAAAACAAGCAGTTCTTGCTATCATCGAACCTGTAATCTTGAGGGAATATATATGGACAAATAATGGCACAAATCAACATGGAATTACAAACTGGAAGATGGCATGAGGGAGATGTGCAGGCAGTGGACGGAGATCCTGACGCCAGCTGAGGGGTACCGTCGCCTACACTGCTGTGTTCCACATCAGGTGGACACTTAGTATTAAGCCTCACACTGAAAAACATCCATTTATCTTATTATTCATAAGATGATATTATTATTCATTCATCCACAATATTATTTAAAATAATATTCTTAGGATGTGTATTTTCCTCTTATTTTGAATCACACAAGAGTAGAGTCTGTTTTGGCAAATATTTACTGGGTATTGTGTATGTTACTTAAGTGTATTATGTCAATTCTCACAGTAACTCTACAAGGTAAGTGCTGTTATGTCATTTTTCAGTTGTGGATGCTCAGCCTTAGAGAACATACATAATTGACCAACAGTTATTAACTAGAAAGTTATATAAGTGTATTATGTCAATTCTCACAGTAACTCTACAAGGTAAGTGCTGTTATGTCATTTTTCAGTTGTGGATGCTCAGCCTTAGAGAACATACATAATTGACCAACAGTTATTAACTAGAAAGTTATATTAACTTTCTATTTATATTATTTATTACATTATATACTATATAAATATATATTACAATATACATTAATATATATTATATATAATGGTATATTAACTAGAAATGTTGGGATCTGAACCCCTATCTGTTTCTAGAGCCTGTACTCCTAAACACATAATTTAATTACATACCATCTTCTATAAAATAAGCCTCAGTATCATTTCAATTTAAAGTGGAATGATACATGATTGGAGTTGGAGGGTCTTTAGACATCACTTTGCCCAATTTCTTTATTTTTCAAGTAAGAGAACTAAATACCAAAGAGATTGCTTGGTCCTAGTTATACAACTACTGAAAGAAACTGAGCAGTTTGGGGAGGGAAAAGGGAACTTCTTTTTCTCTTGACTTTGAATTTTTATTTATTTTACTATTATTATTATTTTTTAAGATTTTACCGGCAGCCCCAGTGGCACAGCAGTTTAGCGCCGCCTGCTTCCCGGGGCGTGATCCTGAAGACCCTTGGATCAAGTCCCATGTCGGGCTCCCTGCATGGAGCCTGCTTCTCCCTCTGCCTGTGTCTCTGCGTCTCTCTCTCTCTGTCTCTATGAATAAATAAATAAATAAATAAATAAATAAATAAATAAATAAATAAATAAATAAATCTCTTAACTCTTAAAAAAAAAAAAAGATTTTACTTATTATTTATGAGAGACATAGAGAGGCAGAGACATAGGCAGAAGGAGAAGCAGGCTCCCCGAGGGGAACCTGATGTGGGACTAGATCCCAGGACCCGGGAATCACAATCACAATCACAATATTTACAGAGAAATATTCTAATGTCTGCAAGATGCAAAATCATTCTCATTTAAGCCATCCAGGTCATTAACCTCATTCAAACTAGTTTTTTTTAAAAAATTTATTATATAGTGACCAATAAAATGTTTCATTGTCTTAACCTGGTTTATACATCATGATGTAAACACAGTGTTTGTATTATTAGAGAAGGTGTAGATCTGAAGGTTATTTTATATCGAGTGTTGTGGAAATGAATTTTATGAATAGTTTTAACAACTGTTCCCCCCACATTTTATGTAATAGACTTTTTTGTTGGTTATTCAAAAGAAGGGTAAAAGTTATGTACTTTTTCTTTTTCAGATTTCACTGTGGGGAAATAAGTGTGATCTGTCTCTATCAGGCGGGGAAACCAGTTCTCAGAAAATCAATATAATAAATTCTTTAGAGGAACTAAAACCTCTGATTTTAGTGAATGACATGGAACATCTTTGGTCGCTGCTTAACAACTGCAAGAAAACAAGAGAAAAAGCATCTCTTACTAGAGTTGATATTGTTCTGGATAATTCTGGGTTTGAACTTGTTACAGATTTAGTTTTAGCTGACTTTTTGTTGTCCTCGCAGCTGGCTACTGAGATCCATTTTTATGGAAAAACTATTCCGTGGTTTGTTTCTGATACTACTATCCATGATTTTAACTGGTTAATTGAACAAGTCAAAAGTTCTAATCATAAGTGGATGTCCAAGTGTGGGGTTGACTGGGGAAATTATATTAAAATGGGCAAATGGGTTTACCATGACCATATATTTTGGACTCTGCCTCATGAATTCTGTGTAATGTCTCAGGTTGCTCCTGACTTGTATGCTGAACTACAGAAGGCACATTTAATTTTATTCAAGGGTGATTTGAACTATAGGAAGTTGACAGGTGATAGAAAGTGGGAATTTACCATTCCATTTCATCAGGCTTTGAACGGCTTCCATCCTGCCCCTCTCTGTAGTATACGAACATTAAAAGCGGAGATTCAGGTTGGGCTGCAGCCGGGGCAGGCTGAACAGTACATGGCCTCTGAGCCCAACTGGCTGACCAGTGGCAAGTATGGAATATTTCAGTTTGATGGTCCGCTCTGACTTGCTTTAGGAACTCTTAAGTTACATAGAAAAATACGACCCACACTTTGCATCCCCAGACAAAGCAGTGTGTGAATTTAGTCACATAGCTCTTCTGCATCAGCTCTGGGAAACATGGCTTCTCAGTGTTCATTTATGTACACTCTGGATGCTTTTCTCTTTGGGCATTTTGCCCACTACATTGTTTGGGAGATAAGTGGATTAATCTAGTTGTAGATATTTATGTTGGAATTTTAATAACATAATTTTAAGCGGTTTTAATGAACTTTTAATTGGTCAGAAAGTAAAATATGAGAGGATTCTGCTTTTAAAGTCAGTTAACATTGTTTTAATGCTATGCTGCATGGTATTTAATATTCAAGGAAGCATGGGATTTTATTTCACTTGTTTTGGGCTCTAGAAATAAGGGCTCTGAAAACAAACCTCTTAAATGAGACATGCTTAGAAAGAGACATTTCTTAGAACTGTGATACTTGAAAAATGAAAGTAAAGATTACCTCATAAGTTAATTGTAAATTTTGTTCTCCTTGAACTTTTGCACGCATTTGTATTTTGATTGACCTGTGGAATGGATAGTAGGAAACCCAAAATTGAACAAAATGAAACATGGTATTTGAAGAACTGATATCTTTTACTTCTATTTGTGATATTCATAATCAACTGAACTATATTAATACATAAGTGCTTTACATGAACAGATTTTTAGATTGTTCTGAAGTTTTTAAAAAATGGTTTAGATAGAAAAGATTCTTATGCATTGAATTTGGAGTACTAAGTTAATTTTTTATATGCTTACCCATTTTTTGGTGACCATTAGATATTAAAGTATATAAGTTTCAGGCCAGTTTGTTTTGAAACAAATCAGCAGTAAACCTTGAAATGTTTTTCTGATGGTATAATAAAATGAATCATACTGAAAATCTTGTTGGTTTTATTTTCCAGTGGGAGAAGATCCAGAAGGGAAGATTAAATATGAGTCTATGTAATAAACTGATAATGTGTATGTCGCCAAAGCAGTTCTTAAATTATGTCACAATGAGGTTATGGTCTGTGTCCTTGCTAAGTGTATCTAAAAAGTTTTGTAAAATGTTTATATAAAACTACACGTTTTAAAATATTTTATTTAAATTCAATTTGCCAACATATAGTATAACACCCACTGCTCATCTTGTCATGTGCCCTCCTTAATGCCTGTCACCCAGCTACCCTATCCCTCACCCACCTCCCCTTCTGCAACCTGTTTTGTTTCCCAGAGTTAGGAGTCTTCCTCTCTCATTTTTCCCCACTCAGTTTTCCTCCTTTCCCTTATGATCTCTTTCACTATTTCTTACATTCCACATATGAGTGAAACCATATGATAATTGTGTTGTGCCCAAGATTGCGAATCCAAGAAACCACCAAGGAGCCGACACCGATGCAAGCGCACAAGGGTTTATTAGCAAGCTCGAGCTTGGGTCCAAGTGTGCCCGACACAGCGGAGCAGGGACTTGGACCCCGAAATGGGTTACAGCTGGGTTTTTTATAGGCTGGTCTAGGGGATTTTCAGAAGGGGTGGAAGAATTTCTCCCAAGTTCTGTTTACATTCTGATGTGGGGCTTTCAAGGGCATTGAGCTCTGTTCTCATTCTAACATGGGACTTTCTACCATGGGCGCGGGCTCTGTTGTCTTTCTGATATGGGATTACCTGCTGAGGACATTGAGGAAATTCTGCAGTTTTTCACATAAAGTTCAGCTCTTATTCACAGGGGCCTAAGATGGCTGTACTCGTGCTAATGCTAAACTTTAGGTGGGATGGCCTTAATTTTTCTTGGCCTCCATATTGTCTTTCTCCAATTGACTTATTTCACTCAGCCTTATACCCTCCAGTTCCATCCATGTCAATGTAAATGGTAGGTATTCGTCCTTTCTGATGGCTGAGTAATATTCCAAAGTGTATATATATCACATCTTTTTCTATTCATCTGTTGAAGGATATTGTGGCTTCTTCCACAGTTGAGCTATTGTGGACATTGCTGCATGTGCCCCTTTGGATCACTATATCTGTATCTTTCGGGTAAATATCCAGTAGTGTAATTGCTGAGTCATAGAGGATCTCTATTTTTAACTTCTTGAAGAACCTCCACACTGTTTTCCAGAGTGGCTGTACCAATTTGCATTCCCATCAACGGTGCAAGAAGGTTTCCCTTTCCCCACATCCTCTCCAACAGCCGTTGTTTTCTGGTCTTGTTAATTTTAGCCATTCTCACTGGTGTGAGGTGGTATCTCATTGTGGCTTTGATTTGTATTTCCCTGGTGGCAAGTGATGTGGAGCATTTTTTCATGTGCTTATTGGCCATGTGTACATCTTTTTTGGAGAAATGTCTGTTCATGTCTTCTGCCCATTTCTTGACTAGATTGTTTCTTGGATATTGAGTTTGAATAAGTTCTTTATAGAACTTTATCTGATATATCATTTGTAAATATCTTTTCCCATTCTGTAGGCTGTCTTTTAGTTTTGGTTACTGTTTTCTTTGCTGTGCAGAAGCTTTTTATCTTGATGAGCATTTTTGCTTTTGTTTCCCTTGCCTTCATAGATGGGTCTTGCAAGAGGTTGCTGTGGCCAAATTCTAAAGGGTGTTGCCTGTGTTCTCCTCTAGGATTTTGATGGATTCTTGTTTCACATTTAGATCTTTAAACCATTTTGAGTTTATCTCTGTGTGTGGTGTAAGAGAATGGTCCAGTTTCATTCTTCTGCATGTGGCTGCTCAATATTCCCAATGCCATTTTTTGAAGAGACTTTTTTCCAGTGGATATTCTTTCCTGCTTTGTCAAAGATGAGTTGACCATAGAGTTGAGGGTCCATTTCTGGGTTCACTATTCTATTCCATTGATCTATGTGTCTTTTTTGTAAAGCTGCACGTTTTGAATTTACTCTTATCTACATGTCTTCCTGTTTTAAGTACTAAGTTACTAAAATATTGAACATGAGAGAATTGTTTGTAGACACTTGACATAAGTTAGAACACCACTGTATATGTGTATTGAGTTCATAGCCACAGTGTGGACTATGGTGTAATATATTGCATTTTCTAAAGCAATGGATTTTTTTTCTGTTTTTATCATGTTTTATTAAGAACACAAAATTAGAATTTGGGAAGAAATAGTTCTTCCCCTCCTATAAGAGCAAGGAAGCAAAAGAGCAAGCAAGAAAAGTGCCAGTTTGGAAGAGGAAGTTGGTTTAAGATGGCATTTTTCAAAAATGCTTAGCAGTGGTAGGACCTGCCTGAATAGGGTTGGGTTTTTTAAATTGGAGTTTAGTTGGCACACAATATTACATTAGGTTCAGGTGTACAACACAGCGACTAGAGAAGTCCACATGTTCTGCTATGATCAGCACACATGTACCTTCTGTTACCACACATTGCTGTCACAATACCATGGAGTATTCCCTATGCTGTACCTTTCATCTGAGTTTATTCCCTAACTGGAAGTCTGTATCTTCCACTCCCCTTCACCCACTTTACCATCCCCCCATCCCTGTCCTCTGTGGCAACCACCAGTTTGTTCTCTCTATTTGAGTCTGTTTCTGCCTTTGTTATTTGTTTTTATAGTCTACGTATAAGTGAAATCATACGGGCTTTGTCTTTGTCTGACTTCTTTCACTTTGCATAATACCACTTCGGTCCATCCGTGTTATTGCAAGTGGCAGGACCTTTTTTTTTTCTTCTTTATGGCTAACACTGTGTGTGGGTATGTGTGTATATCACATCCTTGTCCAGTCATCTATCAGTGGACATCTAGGTTGTTTCCATATCTGGGCTATTATAAATAATGCTCCTGTAAACATAGGGGTGATATATCTTTTTGAATTAACATTTTATTATTCTTTGGGTACATACCTAGGAGTGGAATTACTGGATGTATTATATTTCTATTTTTAATAGTTTGAGAACCCTCAATACTAAATTGGCTGCAACCGATTTACATTCCCACCCACTCTTCCCATGCAAGAGTTCCTTTTCTATTGTCTTTGAATTGTTTTAAAACCAGCTTTCTTGAGAGATAATTCACATACAATTCATCTATTTAAAGCATACAGTACTTTAGTATATTCACAGATGTGCAACCATCACCACAATCTAATTTCAAAACATTTTTGTTGCCCCTAAAAGAAACCCTGTACCCCTACACAGTCATTGCTCATTCCCTTCTTCTCAGCACTTGGCAACCAGTAATTTACTGTTTATGGATTTGTCTATTCTAGATATTTCATGTATAAAGAATAATCAAGTATTTGGGCTTTGTGGCTGGCCTCTTTCTAGGCCATCAGTTGTAGCATGCAACGCTTTGTTCTTTTTTGTTGCCTCATCATATGGTTAGGTGGATACATGGAAATGTCCTATTTATCCATTCATCGGTGATGGACATTTGGGGTGTTTCCACTTTTTTGGCTATCATGAATAATGCCACTATGAACATTCATTTACAAGTGTTTGTGTGGACATATGTTTTCAGTGCTCTTGGGTACCTTACCTGAGAATAAGGTGCAAGATCCCATGGCAAGTATGTTTAACATTTGGAGGAACTATCAAACATTTCCAAAGCATTTGCAGTGTCTTACATTCCCACAAGCTCTGAATGAGGGCTCCAATTTCTCCATATCCTTGTCAGCACTTTTTATTATCTATGTTTTTTATTACAGTGTGCTACTGGGTGTAAAGTGGTATCTCATTGTGGTTTTGATTTGTATTTCCCTAATGACTAAGGGTTAGAGCATTGGAGCATATTTGCCTGTGCTGATTGGCCATTTGTGTATCTTCTTTGGAGAAATGTCTTTAATTCCTTTGTCCATTTAAGAATTAGATTATCTTTTTATTATCAAGTTGTAAGAGTTTCTATATATCTTCCTAAGATACATCGGTCTCATTAGATCCATAATTTACGAATATTTTCTCCCATCCCATGGCTTCCTCTCTTTTCTTTTTTCTTTTCTTTTCCTTTCCTTTCTTTTCTTTTCTTTTCTTTCTTCTTTTTTTCTTTCTTTCTTTCTTTCTTTCTTTCTTTCTTTCTTTCTTTCTGTCATTTCACTTTCTTGATGGCATTATTTGAGCACAAAAGTTTTCTGTTTTGATGAAGTTCTTTTATCTATTTTGTCTTTTGTTGCAAAGCCTTGGTTTTTGAACTACTTCTTGATGTACCCTGCAGGGCCACTGAAGTGAGAGAAACCCCCAGTGTCAGGGTTCTGCCTACAGTCTTCTGCTCTCCCACTTATTTCAGCTTAGCAAGTTTGGCCCTTCTTTGTTTGGCACAGCTACAGAGCAGGATAACGGGTAAAGCCGAGGCGCCAGAGTCCATTAGTCGTGGGGTTGAGTGATCCTGGGAAACTTTCCCAAAATAGCATCTGCAATTGTTTCAACTGCTGATACCATACTTGGTTAAGTATGAAGTAACTTCTGGATAAAGCAGCCATTTTATGCAATGCATTTTTATCAGGATGTAGATCCAGTATCTTATGTATGTTATGATGGAAATATGGATGAAGGGCAGGTAAATAATTAGGGGAGGATGGTAATTTATACTCCATGGGTTTATGTTACTTTCTGATTAAACAGCAAATGGAAAAGATTTGTTAGGGGTGATCCAGCTTTTTTCCCTATAATTTGAGGTGGTATTTTGTGTTGGATAAAAATGCAGTAATGCTTTTGAATCTTTATCAAGCCTGAATCCATGTTGTTCAAACTCAAGGTCATGTTTCTCTAAAAGAAATATCCACCACAAAAAGCAGTATCAACGTAGTTCAAACTCTTTACCTACATTTTAAGAAAACTTCAGAATGGATCAAAAGCAATTCAGTTATATGTCTTAAAATTCTCTCCTGCGCATTTTTATAACAGTTCTTTCTGCCCAAACGTCCACTGAGTCTTGTTCTAGAGACTCTCCC